TAAGCATCATATCTTATTAAATTAATTCTTACTGAAAATGACAGATCCATCAATTACTTAGATATGGAATTAATAATTTCAAAATTCATACGGATTTTTGTATTGTTTATTGAAAGATTTTCGCCCCCATTTAAGCAGCATTTTTGGATACATTTCATGTCTCTCGGAAATAACCTTAGAAATATCTAATGAGAGAAAAAATCAGTTCCGGCATCATCGGATACTACTTACTTTAGTACTCCTTCAAAGATAAGAAAGAAGAGATAACTTTTGGAAGGGCCGTGATGAAGTTAAGAGTGGGACGAACGTTCGCTGACAGAGAGGCCATATAGGGACTGAGTGTGGGTTAGAGCAAGGCAAACCGGACCTCTGACTCACTCCTTACCTCACTAAGGCCCTAGCGAAGTTTAACTTGTACTTTCTTCTAATAGTAATTGCAAGCTAATTACAATTCCAAGTGTCTCAATCACAACTCCATTATATGGGGGGGGGGAGAGACTAAATCAAGCTGGTGCATTTTGATAAGATAACGTTTTGCTACACGCTAGAATTAGAAACTTTAAATCTAGATCAAGGCAACAAATTTTGTCCACTAATTGATAAGCAAACAAAATATAAGTTTATCATCGTTTTTCGACAATTTTTCCAAATCAGTCTAAACATAAGCTCACAGATCATCCCTATCTGTAGAAACTTAGGTGTATACTAGTTGGACGTAAACCGTTCGTGATATTGGGCGAGGATCGATCTAACTTCCTGACGTGTGCAGTCTGTCTGCCAAATGAACGTTAGTAGGTTCGGAAATATGGATGATTCATTTAGAAAATTTACACTGTGAAACAATAATTGTAATACGAGATTTATGTGAATAGTATACAATTAGATGGATAGAAACTTTTTTTTTTTTTAATATAAGATACGTAATATTTATGTACATAATATGTCACTAAATGAATTTTCGTCTTAAAACTTTTGTTCGTCTGTCGGTGTGTTCTTCTAATTTATACGTTTACATAAACAATCATATATTCTAAACACTTACCCTTTCAAAATAAGAAAGTCATAATAACAATAAAATCTACATAATTAACATAAAATAACACTTATAATTTAACTAAAAAATATGCATGTAGTTACACACATTCATATAATAATTTCCGGTTGAATTATTATCCGATCGTTTTAGGTACGTATGTATGTGTGTAAACAGTGTCGGCTTTAGATATTTGGCGCCCCCGAACAATAATCTCTTAAGTTCCCTCTTCCTCACCATAAAAAAAAAAAAAATAAAATAAAAAAAAACTTTAAAATAAATTTCTTGAACTATTATATATTTCTTCACCTTTGAACTGTATTTTATTCTACGTATTTCTAGTTTATTTGTTTTATTAATAGCCTAAAATTAATTTATCTCATGAACTTATATTTTTGTAATTCCCAATAAGTGACAGGCGATCTTTCAGTTCGGCATATACCCCTTAAAACTGGGACTGTATATATATATATATATATATATATATATATATATATATATTCCTTCTATAGTCGCCACATTAAAGAATAATTTAGCGGAACCATCTTTCACTACAAATTTAATAGTTAGAACCATAGGCGTAGATATCGAAGATATTTTTCACATACCTGTTGAGGGTGTTGAACATTTTACTACAATAGTTTTCTTTATCATTCAAACAACATTCTATCGATAAATTCCGAATTTATTAACTGAAATGGTATTGATGTTAGATTTAATCTTTATAGAGTAAAATGTTTTGAAACTTTTTCTAGTTTAGAATAGATTCTCAAATGTTCCAACTTTTTTTTTTAACTTTGGATTTCTAAAGTTTTGGGGAGGTTGACACAGTAAGATCAATATGGAATACTAAGGTCCTGATGTAGGGTTTTGTTGGTTACATAGAACGGAGCATCGACTATTGTTCGTAGGACTTTGGACTGAAAGGATTGGTTGCGTTTGATGTTGGAAAATTTTGTTGTCTCCCAAAGTTCAAATCCGTAGGTCCAAATAGGTTTCAGGATTGTCTTGTAGATCAGTAATTTGTTGTCAATTGAAAGTTGAGATTTTCTGGTCAGTAGTCTGTATAATTGGCTATATCGTCGGTTAAGTTCTTGTCTTTTAAGTCTAGTATATGGGTTCCATGTTTATCTTCGGTCTAAGAGAAAGCCAAGGTACCGGACTGTGAAAGGAAGCTGGATGGAATTAAAGTGGACTGATAGACAGGATCTGCGCCGAATGTGATTGTAATGTGTTTGCATTTGGACTCGTTTACTTTGATGCGCCATTTATTACATCAGTGCTCAGTCAGGGAGAGATGTCTTTGCAGATTTAAAGATGCTATTTCGGGAACTGAGTTGGATGATACGATGGCGTTGTCATCAGCAAATGTTGCCAAGAAGGTATCGGGATGGACAGGAATATCAGCGGTAAAAAGGATATAAAGGATGGGGCCCAAGATGCTACCTTGTGGAACACCAGCTTCAACTGGGTAGGAATTGGAAAATTCTGTAACACAGTGAACTCGAACGGTGTGATCAGAGAGTTAGGAGCGGAGGATTAGGTACAAGGACTGGGGTAGATGGGTTTTCATCTTGGAAAGAAGCACGGCGTGCCATACCCGGTCAAAAGCTTGAGCTATGTCCAGAAATGCACCCGAACAATATTGCTTGCTTTCCAGTGTTGCAGAAATATGATCGACCGCTCGAAGTCCTTGTTGGACTGTGGAGTGTTGTGAACGAAATTCGAACTGATGGGAAGGAAGATTTTAGGATTCTATAGGATTCTATTCTTTAGGATTCGTTTCAGGAGGATCTTTTCAAAAATTTTTGAGAGGATTGGAAGTAGGCTAATTGGTCTGTAGGACGCCGAAATGTTGAGAGGTTTGCCTGGTTGCGGAAACAGGATAACAGTGGAATGTTTCTGCAAAAGAGGAAAGTCGGTGGTTCTTAGAATGGTATTATGTAAGTAAGTGAGAAATATAACAGCTTTGGGAGGAAGTTGTCGAAGGATTTGGTAGGTAAGGAGGTCGTATCCAGGAGATTTACAGAGAGGAAGTTTTTGTAAGTGATGTTTGACTTCAGAAGGATTAACTGCTTTAGGGAGTAAGGAAAGTGGAATGGGTGATGTAAGGAATTCTTCTACTGTTGTGGTATGGGTGGGATTGGATTCCGGATGTGAGGTGATTGTTCTGGGAAGGTGTTTGGCGAATTCCTCAGATTTGTCTTCATCAGACGCTACCCAGGAGACATCACATCGACGGAGGGGATAGGAAATATGATGGGATTTTAGGATTTTGTTGGTGGTCTTCCATAGAGAATTGTCATGATGAGACAGAGGGAAGTAAGATAGGAGTTAAAGGATTGGGATTTGAAAGCTGCCAATTCCTGCTTTAATCGTTTACTGTAAAAATTATGAGAGCGGTGATTGGTGGAGTGTCTTGAACATTGCCCTAATGCTATTGCACGGTGTTTGATGTGAATTAGGTTTAACAGGTATTGAGGTAAATTGTTTTTCTTAGGAATTTTCGAGGAGAAATTTGGGGAGAAAGCAGTCCAGATTGCTTGCTGAATAGTGATGGTAAAGGAATGTATGGTATTACCATGGTCTTCTGGTGTTTTCAGGATTATTCTGAGGTCAATTCTATCGGAAAGGATTTGATGATAGAGTTTCAGTTAACTGGGCCTCTGATGAAGGACGGTGGAGGGGGTTTAGGAATTGGAGCTATTGATATTTGAAGTATCAATGGACTATGATCTGAGGAAAGTTCGTCAAGACGGGTAAGGAAATGATTGAGGGGACCTAAACCACTGTGGATGAAAAAATCAAGGATGTCTGGATTGCGGTTAGGATCAGTGGGTCAGTAGGTAGGTGAGTTGGGTGGAACGAGGCTGAAACGTTGGGAATTGAGTGCAGACAGCAATGTTCTGCCATGAGAATTTGTGGTTCTTGAACCCCATTCATTCTTGATGCTTGGCATTTAAGTCTACAGCCAGGATGAAATGATGACCTAAGGAATTGAGGAGAGAACTGAACTGGACTTTGGATGTGGATCTGTTAGGGCAATATGCTGATGCAAGGGTGACGGGAAAGGAGAAGGTTTTAATTGCAATAGCGGTTGATTCTAGGAAATCTTGAGTAGGTAATGGGAGTAAGTGATGAGAGAGGGATTGGTGGATGATGACAGCAGTACCGTCATATGCTCTACCATCAGGATGGTCAGTATGGTATGTTATGTACTGTGGAATTTTTAAACTCTTAAATTTAAGAATTAAATAAATCTGGTCAGTCGAGTTTCTGTAATTAGGGCTATGTCAGTGTTCTTGTCTAGTAGTAAAGCAGTTCGTCAACGTGATTTCTAACACCATTTGCATTCCAAAGAAGAATAGATATGTGTTTAATTGGAGTAATTTAAGGATTTTTCACATGAGGTGAGATACGAGATTTGTAAGGAGTGATATGAGTGGGGTAACCATTGATTTGAATTCAATCAGGAATGATGACAACAAACTGGTGAGATTGTGGCATTTGAGGGGGGAGGAATATGAGGAATTGGATGTTGTTGATGGTTAGATATGTTAGCATGAACAGGATATTGAGGTTGGGGTTGAGGTAGCTGCTGCGGCAGGGCTTCACATTCATTAGGTACTTAACTCTAAGTAGTTCGGAGTATGATAGATTATTACTAACAATTGTAGAAAGTTCTCTTCTTGGTCTGGTTGTGTCATCTTGAATCCGGTTCTTCTGTTATCTGGATTTGTTGTTCTTATAAGTTTGGCAGCCTTTGTAGTTGGCCGGGTGTCCCTCTAGGCATAGGGCACAAACTGCAGGATCTTGTATAGGTTTGATGCACTCTGCTGATTGGTGTTAAGTTAAGACTTTTCTGTTCAACATGTGTTTTGATGAATTTTTAATTATCTACTAAATTTTTTTTATATACTATTATATGCTTTAAATAAAGTATTTCTCTCTATATTGTTTTTTATAGGTCGAACTCACCCTGCGATCGTTTCCAGTGTAAATAATGCCTCAAGAAGTGTCACGGTAGAGTGGTTTGAAAAAGGAGAAACGAAGGGGAAAGAGGTATTCAAAGTTTAAAATGTATAAATTTCTTGTCAAGTTCGCTTATATTATAAGTCATTGTTAGGCTATCTACATTTTCTATTACAAGGTTATTTATTAAAACAATTACTCCAAAGCCGATGGTTTTTAAGGAATTTTGCATATTATAAACTTCTGTTGTTGTTTTTTTTTTATATTATGAACTTAAGGTTCTTCTCTGATTCTTCTGTTTTTCTTATGATATTGAAGTTATAAGTCAGGTTGTAAAAAAATGTTTAGTTGCTCAAACAAAATTCCTTAAAAGAAATGTAATTATTATTAATTTAATAATATACAAGATAGTAATATATATCTGTGCAATAAGAATGTCTAGAAAGAGATTTTGTTTGTACTTGTTTTATTATTATGTTTTGTTTATTTTTTTACATCATCATATTAATTCTAGTACTGTCTAATTTTTGACTGCAATGAGTTGGTAGGCAACTGGATTAATTTTTTTAAATGGTAACCTTGTATGTGTCAAATATCTGTTTCCAAGACATTTTGAAATTGAAATATGCTAGACATATTTGAAAGATAGCCATTTGCTATGAAATTAGGCATCAGATAAGATTAGGAATACAACATTTATAATTATTTTAATTCATTCTTAATGGATGAAATTCTACATTTTGTCAGTACACAAACAAATACATTTTACATTTCTAGGTTTGCTTAAAATTTAATTCAATAAATTGACGAAAATTGCTTTGACTTTTACAATTTTCAGTCTTATGATCCTTGAATTATGGTTGAATTTGTTTATAATATATCATTGGAAACCTTGTATTTAATAAATGATTTTGTATTTCTTCCAGGCTTTACTCTTTTATTCTTTAGAAATTTAACTGCCAGGAGTAACCGACTCTTTCCAGAATTTCCTTTTAGCAGCAATGAATGCTGTTTTTGATGCATGGCTTATCCATGTTTAGTAAAATTATGATCACGTTGACTTCACATTTAGTTTTGTTTTAGTTTAGTTCAATAATATCATTGTCTTGGATGTTATATTATTGTACATTGGATGTTGTATTATTATACACAGTACCTAAAGTCTCATTATTACAAACATTAATTATTCACATTACAACCTTTTTGACCATACATAATTATGTAATTACAATTGTCAAAAACTATAATTTATTTAATATTTAATAGTTGACCATTGCATTATAAAGAAAGGAGATGGTCCAGGGTGGCGGTCATAAATAGGCTAAATGTGATAACTATTTTATTAAAAGCCAACGTTTGGACCCAACTTTGCAGGTCTTCTTCAGGGCTAGAACGGATAAGATACAAAAAGAAAAAGAATTGTGGAAGTTACATAATATTTAGACAAAAAATTATAAACAATGTTAATAAGCTTATTAAAATTATAAACAGTAAGTACATTAAAATATAAACAGAGTAAGTTAAGTAACAAGATCCTAAACTGAAGTAAATAGATGGTAACAATTGTTCTAGTGTAATATACAATATATGCAAATGTGAATATACTTCTACAGATCTACAGGAGAGATTGAAAGAAAAGGAAAAAGGATATAATATGAAATAATAGACATAAAGGAATAAGGAGAAAGAAAAGAAAAAATTAAATAAATGAAATTAGACACTTATAGGTGTGTTCAGCTAGAAGTTTCACTTAAAACTGAAAAACCAGGGTAAGGGCAGGCATTGGGGAATTTGCTGACTTGTTTGGATAATGGGGAAAAAACCTAGAAAATTACAGTATCTAAAATTTGAAGATAGGGATAGATACAAGTGAAAAAATATTATATCTAGAAAATATTAAAATATAAATATATACATATACATATAAAATAGAATTAAGAGATTACAGATATACTGCAAAGTCGGGTCGAAACGTTGGCTTTTAATAAAGTAGTTTTACCACTATTTAGCCTATGTATGACCGCCACCCTGGACCATCTCCTTCCTTTATAATTTATTTAAGACTTAAGACTTCATCGTCATCATAATCATGTTCCTCTTTACCGCTTGTGCAGTGTGAGGTTGCTTCTTGTAGAACTTCGACTAGGTGGACCTTTCCGGTACCAGCTCTCGTCTCCTGTTCCATTCTAAACCTCACTTCTGGAATGCATCTCGCACGCCCTTCTCCCAGGAGATCCTGGGTCTTCCTCTCAGTCATCTACCCTGCACACGAGTCTCATACGTCTTCCTTGTGACTCTGTTCTGATCCATACGGAGAAGATGCCGTAACCATCTCAACTTATGTCCTTCTATTATGGTTTCGACAGCTTTGGCGTCGAGATTGGCTCGAATTGTAGTATTGCGAATTCTGTTTCGTTTAGTCTTTTCCTCCACCTTTCGCAGGTATTGCATCTATAGAGCCTGGATCTGGCTCCTGTGTTTCAAAGTAAGTGTCCAGGAAAAATACGTCAGTATAGGAAGGAATACTGATCTGTAGACCATCATCTTCGTTTCCTTGGTCACCTCTTTTAGGTTCAGGAAGCCTTTCCTAACCGAGCCAAACATTCTTCCAGCAGCGTTTATTCTCTGCCTTACCTCCTCGTCAATATATCCATTTTCGTTGAGTTGAGCACCCAATTATTTGAAACTTTCCACCTGCTCCAAAATCTCACCGTCAACCCTCAATACCTTCATAACTCTGTGAGGTTTTTTTCCAATGCGCATGCATTTCGTCTTCTCAGGGTTTATTTCCATATTGATTTCTCTTAAATCTTCCTTTAGGATGTTAATGTTGTTCTGGAGGTCAGGGTCATTCTGGGCCTATGGCAATGTCATCCGCAAACTCCAGCAGAGAGTATAGAGTAGGCTGCATATCTCTGTGACCCAATTGAAAAATTCACATCTTCTCTCTTGCTTTCCCCAGAGATCTACAAAGCATACTGAGGGTTTTTTTTCTCTCTAAAGAATCTTCTCTGTGAATTGTTGTGAAAACTAGATCCTGTGTGCTTCTTTGACTCCTGAATCCATACTGCTCCTCTCCAAACTTCATCATTTTCGGAGTGATTCCATCCAGTCCTGCCGACTTGCCGAGTTTCATCTTGAAGATGGATTCCTACAATTCTTCTTCATCAATGTAATCGTCCTCTTCCGAGGAATCCTCCTCTACAACCTATATCTTATTTAGGTTCCAATCTGTTCCTTCCAGCAGCTCTTTAAATTATTCTCTGCACCTCTCCATTATCTCATCATCTTGCCAGACAATGTTTCCCTCTTTGCTCCTAATTCCTTCCAATGTGGTGGGTCATCATCTTCTCACCTCATCTTCGGTTTGGTGATTCCAAGTCTATACACTTTGGCCCTTCTAAGTCCACAAGTTCACACTCCTTTCCATTCAAACACCGTACATTCCAGGTAGTAAGTCTTATAATCTGTTTTCCATGCCTTATCATATTCCTTAAGTTCAATCCAGCTCTAATATTTCGTTTGTAATAAGACTTAAATATGATAAAACTATTTTTTTTTTGTATTCATTGTTATGACAATGTGCCAAACTGTTTTTCTTCTGAATTTATGTAATTGTTTATTTTTATTGTTATTTTTGTTATAAAAGAATATTAAAATCAATGTATACTACTAGTTTTATTTATTATAATTTTTCTTTACAGATCGAGTTTGATGCAATTTATGCGTTGAACATGCACCTGCAGCCTTCTAATATTAACAACCAACAGACTGAAGATATCGAAAATAAATTATCAAGGGTAAATTTTAGATTCTCTTATACTTATTAGGAATAAATCAATTTTTTTGTATTTCAATCGAATGCTATTTTTTTATATTATTGTTATCTCAATACCGGCATTAGATAAATTTATAATTAATTCCTTATTAAAAATTAATTTATGTGGATTTGTTGAATAAGACATATTGATTACTCTGTAATTATAGAAAATTAATGTAAACCGTTGGAGGGGAAAAATAATTTGTATCAAAAAGGAGTTTTTTTTTTTTTTTTTTTTTTATTTCATTGTGGCAAATAATAATGTCGATGTTATCTTAGCTTCTAATAATTGGTCTAGTGAAGGCATTGGAAGCATCCTCTTTGTTCTTAGTGAGTTCTCAATGTAAGCTGAACTATATAATAAAGTACTGCATCCTGGTGTTGTACTGTGAGAAAAACAATTATCAGTTGATTTCAAATAAATCCTATGTATCATCCTAATGGTGACAAAAAATTAAGCTAGCTGAATGGAAATATGAATAAAATAATAGGACTGGATAATCTATTTTTGTGGGTTGATGGTTGACTGTAGTGAATAATTGGAAGGATGGTTGGGGTGATCAGTCAAAATAAAAAATAGTAATTATAAAGAATTATATTCATATAAATAAATATAAATATAAAATATTTATATATAAATAAATATAAGAGAAGGAGTTGATCGGGGGGTGTGGTCAAATTAATAATAAATTAAACAAGTAGAATTATTTAATTTAATTAAAATTAATATTTAATTAAATAAAATAATTCTACTTGTTTAATGTATTATTAATTTGACCGCACCCCCCGATCAACTCCTTCTCATATTATATCAACGGTCAACCATCTCTACATCATTATAAATAAATATAATTATTTATTTTTACTATGTTTTATTTTGACTGATCACCCCAACCATCCTTCTCTTCAATAATCTATTTTAATTGAATTCTAAGCTAAGAATATGATATATCGATAAATACAGTATTTGCAGTTTGTTGTTGACTGAAACTTACATTTATTGAGGTGTGGAATGCATTGTGGTCATGATTTACTCTAAAATAACTTTAATTGAACTAAAATAAAATTAGCTTTTATTATGTAAAATAAAATTATAATGCAATGTACTTATAAATTAACTTTTAATATTTTTTTTTTCAGAAATTAAAATTATATAAATAATATGTATGGTGTCTCTTTTAATAAATAATAAACAGTTTAATAAATAAATATAAATTCTCCTTATATAAAATCTTTTTCACTAATCTTTCTCATTATAGGAGTAATAGTCTTACACCAAGGTGGCCAACCCTATTGGGGAATCGGGGTTCTCTGTCTGATTCCATATCTCCCACTATGAATTTTTAATCATAAAATAACTTAAATTAATGTGCAGTAAACTATATTACTATCTTAATTTGTGTAATCTGATGACATTAAATATAGGCTTTGGTTTAAGTTTTAACTTCCAGTGATCTTTCATTATAGTAACATTTTGTAAACCATTTTATTCCCACTAAAGAGTACTCTTTCCATTAAAATTATTGTAATTAGATTTGTGAAATTGCCTTTTTTGATAAAAAATTGTTTGAATTTTTTAAAGTCATAACTTTGTGCTCAGAATGAGCTGTCTATCTAGTCCATACTCAGAATAGGTTATGCCTCACTAGTCCCTGCTCACAATGGGCTCTCTCTCTAGTGGATACTCAGAATGGGCTATGTCTCTCTCTCGTGTACTCAGAATGGGTTATGTCTCTCTAGTGTACTCAGAATGGGCTATCTCTCTAGTGATGAGTAAGGATATTTTGCCATTTGGATGATAGATAATCAGATCCTATCTAGAGAATTCATAGCAGCATTTAGTTATTATCTCCAAATTAATTTTTTGAAAGATTTAAATCTGGTTGTTTATGTATATGGATTATTTTTATGAATCTTGAATCACATTTAAGATGTTATGAATTCTCAGATATTTGCGTCATAGTACTAACTTATTTAAAACATAAAGTACATTATTTGAAGTAACATTATAGATCTATTAGGAGAGTGTGGTAGCGGCACTGATCTTCCAATTATTTATTCTGTTTCATCAGCCGTTGGGACACCCTGGGATCAGGAGACCCTTCTAGGGCACACTCAGCCGCTATAATGTGGGTACCTTTAATTAAATAATTAATTAAGGGAGAAAACCTGGCAGTTGAGCCTGATCTCAGTCAAATCACCTACTTGCACAACCGTTGACTTAAAAACAGTACTTTCCCTAAATAGTACTAAACCCAAGACCCTTCATTGGTTGTAGTGGTTGAGGTATTTTTTTTTTTTTTTTTTTTTTATTGATCTATTGATCTCTTTGTGGTGAAAAATTACATATTACCCCAAATCATCCATTCCAAAAAAAAATGTATTTACCATTTGGCTTTGAGTCATTGTTCTTAATTGCTTTTAGGCATCAACTGTTTGAAGAAACCATTAACCAGCATTTGAAAATTAAAAACTATTTCTGTTAAAATGGAAAAGCAGTCTCTATATTCATTGATTAGTTGAAATTAGTACACACTCCAATTATGCTCTTTCCTGTTGTAGAAAATCTACCATATTATTTGCCACATTTTCATTGGAATCTGTTGCTAATGACTTTTATCTTGACAAGCAACTCCCATAAATTCCTTTTAAAATACTAAAAAGACATAAAAGTGCTCATAAAATGCAATATCTTGATAAGCTCTCAAAATTTTCAATTTACCGAATAATGACTATATGTAAATATTTTAATTGAATCTATATTTAAAGTATTGGGGAATTGGTCAATTCAACCATGTAATTGTATTTTTCTTATATCAATTCTTTCAATTCAAACCATTCATTAGATCTTCACTTCTTTTTAACATGTCAAAAATACAATTTTTAGCTTCTTTTCTATCAGTGTGACAATTCAAGGCATTTAAAGAGAAATTGGGTTTGGATTTTTGTTGTAATTGATTAGTCATACTTATTTATTTTATTGTGGAGTTAAAATGGGTAATTAAAATATCTTAATGAGTAAATACAATATTTCTAAATTTATTTTAAATTTATGGTGTATAATTTTATGACCGAAATTACCAATAGTTGCCTTCAATAGAATAAAAGCTTGAGATAAAGGGGCTGATCCAGACAGTATTGCCAGATGCGGGCAGACAGAAGAGCTATGAAATGACTCCCCTTGAGAGAGTTGGTTGTAGAGAATCTCCACCATTACCAACATTCTGCTCCTCTCTGCAACTCACCACTCTCTCAGTTTGCTTCTTTATTTTTACTCCTTTCTGAAACTCATTGCTCTCTCAGTTTGCTTCTGTATTTTTACTATGTCCAGTTTAATTCTTTTTTTTTACTGTTACTGTATTTTTTTTTGTTTTGACCATGCTTGATAAAGATTTCTTCTTGCTTAAAGTATAATCAGTAATTCTTATTTAAAGTATATATTGACCATCCATACTAAAAGGAAACAAAAAAGAGGGTTGAACACCAATATTACCAACATCCCCTTTATCAAAAGTCTTTTAGACTCTTATAGTCTGGCAGCGTTTTGACAAAGATATTATTTCAGCCAAATGACCATTAAGACTTTTTATTTACAAATATTTATCTACTCGTCTTGAAAGTTAACTGTTTAATAAAAATATATTATTCTAAAAATATAATGCATACCTATATTTTGAAAGAAAGAAATTTAAGAAATGTTTACAATTTTTAATCCGCAAATATTGAAAACGCAAATAATGAAGCCATGATAACAAGCTTTGACTGTATATTGCAAATACACTTGTATCCAAAGGATTCTATACATCCTAATTTATTTAAAAATGTGTTACCACTTATTTCTTTAACAAGGGTGAAACTAACTAGAACATGCTAAACAATTTATTATTAAACAGTAACCAATCTGTTGTTTTGCTTAATAATTGACATCAAATTCAAGGGATTATAAGGATAGAAGAGAATCGCACATAGTGACAACAGGGCTTCCCATGTAATGCAGGTTCCGAGCTTTTATTCTAGTGAAAGGGATTACATTCAAGAACAAAATATTTAATCTTAGATAGAAATAAAAAGAAGAAAAATGTATCAATGTCTATTTCTTTTATTGTTATAAAGAAAAGAAAGTAAGAGAGAATATTAGTTCAATTATGTATTTTTTCTAATTACTATTTGAATGTGTATTTAATTAAGCTATTTATAAAGGATACTCCTCAAACATGGGATGAAGATGATGATGGTGATGAGGATGATGATGATGAAAGTCAACAAGATGCTTTTGTCACAGATTGTGATAATGGAAACGTAAAGGAAAAAAACTCATTATCTGTTCGTAGCCTGCCTAATCCCAAAACGGTAATTTATGCCTGTGCCTGCATTATTGTCATGCCTAATAATTTGACAAATTTTAGTCTATGCACCACTTTTCCCTACCTTCACCAATGTTCTATACTGTTTTATGTTTGGATTTATTTCCTCTGCAATTTAGTCACTATTAGTGAAATATGCATCTTTTTGTATAGTCAGCCAGTTCTTATTATTTCATTATAATTCCCCTTTTTCTTTATTTTATTTATCCTTTCTATTTTTCACATTTATCGTCTTTGTTTTTTTATAGCTTAATACTTGCATAGCTAACTAGATTAGTTCTTGCTTTTGTAATCTGCACAATTGCACTTTATAAATAAAGAGTTAAAATTTCTTTTTTATTTTGATATAACGTTTTTAACTATTATTATGAGTGTAATATGTACTAAATTATTTGTAAATACCACATTTTTGTATTTTGTGATTTACTTCCCTTCAAACTATTGAGTTCAGTTTTATTGATTAAAGGATTAAATGATTAAAATCTATGTTTACCCAAAACACTCTGAAATTCGTGCAATTTGTGTGAATTTTTTTTATTATTATGTGATCTATTTGTGTTTGTGCACATTCATGGGTGAGTGTGTGCATGCATGAATGAATAAATGTGTTTGTAAGGGAGTGAATGTGTGCATGGATGCATAAATAAACATAAAGATGCATAAAGAGGATAAAGATAAAGAAACCCTTAATTTTATAGATAGGTCAATTTAAAATTGGGTATTCCTGCTTGAATGTAGTCTTAATAAAGGAACTGCCTTGGCCACTAAATATTGTGAAAATATTCAAATAATGAGAGTTTGTATATATTACCTGATTTTGGGTTTGGAGTTAGTTACTTGGTAAGGTACTGGAACATTAACTCCTGGATGGAATTCTGTTACATTTGAATCTGTATAGTCCATTCTACCAGGCATAAATTTAACTCTAAGATCAGTAGATTTTCTGTAGTCTAGGAAGTGGAAGCCTAGAATAGGTGAGGAGAAAAAACTGTCAGAGCTGGGTGTAAATGGTGATATCTTCTTGTATGAACATTGATCAAGGAACTTCCATATACAAAATTGAACCTAAGAACTTTGCTGCAATGTAATGGTTTAATATTTATTTTATGTATAATGTGATGTTAAATTGAAACTGTTGCTGTGCTGTGACTACACAATTAGTGGTATATTGCTTGACCTCTCTACTTAGTTCAGGCGTATAAACGTTTTTAATAACTCAATATTTTTCTTATTTTCCTGTTATTATTATTTTTAATTTGATCAATAATTAAGTTCGAAGATGTTCATTAAATATGATCAAGCAGTTTCATACCACCACCATCATCATCATCATATCTAGCACAGCAACTTTTTACCTCCAAGTTTAAGTTCAGGTTAATTATCTCTGCCTACAACAAGAAGTGTCTGTTGGTCTTCTTCCTCTGTTCAAGAAATACTATCCACCTCACATTCTGTCTTTGCCACTCTTTATGTGTTCTAGGTCTTGTAAGATTCTACCTTCTCAGAACTATTTTGTGGTGAGGAGTTTAAGTTACTTCCTGTCTACCAGTCAGGTATGGGGCCAACTTCGGCTTCTTAGGTAATAATTTGTACTGATGATTACATTTTTTATTTGTGTTGAGATAGTTGTGAACTGTCTGTATGTTTGCAAAATTGTTTTGTTTTAAAGTGCTAGAATATCTCCTTTCCAAATTTGGATTGCAGTGCGTTTTCCTGTTACTTGATTAAGAAGTTGGCAGTAGTGTGGTAAAATATATATTCTTATAGAATTAGGAGTTAGGTCTGAATTAGGATCAACTCAGAGTCTTGAAGATATCGGGATAGATATTTAAATGAAGAGGTATACATTTTTTCTAGAAAACTTAAATGAATACTTAATATACAGGGTGTCTCGGTTCTTAGTGGCCAATTTCTGGAGAGTAATTCTAGACAAAATTTACTACAAAAAAGTTCGTATGATGCATGGGCCAATTACGAACGGAATAGGAGTTAAGACCAATATGTGCTCAAAAACTGTTCAAGATAATAAAATTTTAAGTACACCATTGTAAAGTAGAAAATATTTTTTTTTTATAAAACTGATTAAATTTACTAAGGCCACTGATGATAGAAACTTTCAGGAGCTCTAACATGGTCGCTGTACTGTTGCAGTCACGGTACCCATACACAAGCAGCATATCTCTGTACAGCAACCGTATTAGACCTGAAAGTCCCTTTTATCATTGACCTTAGTAAATTTAATCACTGTTCTTCCCCCTAAAATGTGTGTGTATATATCGTAATGATGGATCTCATAGCAACAATAGAAAAAAAACTCAATAAAAAATTAATTACCCTTTAATTACAAAGAATTAAATTATTTATGTTAATGTATTTCTAGTAAATTTTAACTATATTTTATATTAGTTTACCCTTTTGTTGATGTAAGTGTATAATGGGTAATAATCAATTTATGAGAAAGAAAAAATAAAACAAATTACCTATAATTTACAATTATTAAAATGATTATTCCCCTTAAGTTAATTTTAATTTTTACTGCTATTACTACTGGTGGGGGAACTAGCCTGGCAAATGGGCCTTGTGACCCTTTTTGCCTAACACTGCTGGCTATCTTAAGGTCATTTTCAATTTTAAGTATTACCTATTTATCCACACTGTATTGAATAACTGCCTAAAGCCCTCTAGACATTCTTATATTTTGATTGCTATTGCTTTAGTTAAAGATTATATTCAGAATTTAAAAATATGATGGAGACAACTGAAATTTTTTTCAATTTTTGTGTTCTTCAATTGGATCCAGTCAGTTCAGTTTTAGTGACAAACCAATCAGATCCTTTACTAGTTATGATTATTCGGTCATGCATTTCAAACAAATGTCACCTCCATTGTCAACTGCAACTGCTCAGCACTAGATCTGGGCGGGAATGTATCAATCTAATACTTCATTGATAAAGATTCTATAAGTTTAAGCATATGGTACTTTTAAGAATTTTCTTGAAAACTTAAAGAACTGCTATCATAGCAAATGATCCCAGTCAGTGAATTATTGATCTCAACCATATCATTTTTGATGATACAACATCAAAAAATATTATTCATATTCGTTCCAATGGGCCCTAGGAGCTGGGAAAGAAAATATTTTATAAAACTTCAAAAACAATTAATGTTTTTTTTTTTTCATTTTCTTTCCCGTATTTTTAGATAATTATATACCAATTGTTTTCTTTGTGCAGAATAAGAAAAAATACTGCCTATAGTATTAAGGGAGTTAAAATGTTTCATAAATTACAAAGACCAAAAGACTCTTACAGTAAAGTAGGTGAAGTAAATTTTGTTATAAAAAAGCAAGTAAAATTCATTTTAAAACTTCAAATACAAATTTTTATAGATATAAAAAATTGCAAATTTTAGTACTTGATTTTCTTGGAGGATTTTTTTTTCCAGCCGTTTACTATAACTTCATAAGTTTCCAAGATTTTCTCCTAATTTAACTTTAGTACAACCATTGGAAAGGTGAATTACTGCTCTATCATTCATTAGTAAGCTAAAAACAAGAAAAATGTCTCAAACATTTTTTTTATGTATCTTTTGTTCTAATTTGTTCACAAATGTCAGATTAGTAACATTTTTGAAGCATTTAGCGTCCTATATCTCTGATAATTTTTATGTTTATCGTTGGAGTCGTCTTTTAGTTACAACCACTATTTTGTGGAAAAAAATTAAGTTTTTCAATTCCTATGAAAATTCATATTTAAGAGGTATGGTGTGAAAAACACCAACTCTGTTTTTTCATAAAAAATTTTAACTCCCATTTTGTTTTAATATTATTTTATTTACTCCTTATGGGAAAAATCCTAGAAAAACTCATTCTGAAACACCTGTGTTCCATTCTAAATCCTAATCACATAATTGCAGATCATCAGTTCGGGTTCTGAACATCCTACATCACTATCCAGCAATGTCATTGTTTGGTGTAGACACTGTCTCCTCTGTATAGGAGGGCGGATTGTACTGCATGGGAGTCTTTTTCCTGATGTAGAACAGACATTTCATCGAGTCTGGTCCCTGGACTGCTTTGCACAATCCGTCAAGTCCCCTACATAGGTGCCTATTCATTCCTCTTTTCTCAGTCCGGTAATGTACCTCATGGTAGTAGTTTCGGTCTTATCTTTTACTCTCTTTAAACAGCTGACATTCCAACTCATCGTAACACCATTATTACCATGTATGCTGATCACACGTTAGCTGCGGGTACGGTTCCATGGTTCAGAAATTTGGCTCCATTTTGGCCGGGATTGTTTCGAATTTAGCCTATCTTACGAAGACTTTAAAATGGTCATTTGGACGGATTGAAAAGTTAATAAGGTTCCTGGGATGAAACCGTTTTCATACCCTGCATGAACAATTATCATCCTGGTTCTCTTGTTAATTTATTTTTAAAGCTCGATGTGAGTTCCATCAGTTCGGATGAAATTTTTCTCATTTGTTGAATGAATGTATGTATCATCTGAGTAAACAATGAGGCAACCTTCTTTTCGATATTTAGTTATTCGGTTTAAATATTATATTCTTTTGAGCCGGATGTCATTTTTCTCAATCAAAGCTTTTCTCTTTATTCTCACTAAAATTAATTTCTTTATTTTCTCTTATTTTTTGGAAAATATCATTCAAAGATGGTATTTTTTTAATCAATTATATGAAAATTAATTAAACGCTTGTCTATAAATGGGTTCTTTATCAAAGTTGTCAATATTTACTTTTCGGGCTGTTTCTTGACTGGAGTTTCAAAACAAGATTTATCTCTCTCTCTCTCTCTCTCTCTCTCTCTCTCTCTCTCTCTCTCTCTCTCTCTCTACAGCTTCATCCTCTTTTATGACGTTTCTCAAAGTGTGTTCCGAGACACCAATAGACTGGGAAACTCCTTTCATAACAGAGGAAATATGGATTGGATCACTACCTGCCTCTTTTTTCATGAGTTTATTTACGTTCATAATCATGCTTTTGATCTGTGAGTGGATAATTTTCCCTCTACCCAGTTTACTTGACTTAGTAAACGAAAATTGGTAAAAAAAATGGTAAAATAAATTTCTATCTGTAAAAAAAATTGTAGAAGTAGTAGAGAGAAGACAAAAGAGTGGAGGATCAGCCGGCGGGATAACGTTTTGCAACTGCGCATTTCTCTCCCACTCTACCCACTAGCAAACTCATCTATAGAATCTACCTACCAACTGCAGAAAAACAGATAAATAGGGAATATTTCTAAACTCAGCCCTGAGCTCATCAATGGCATCGTTTGGCCCAGTTTAGAGATGAATCCGATGCCATAGATCAGCTCAGAACTGACTTTAGGCACTTGTGCATATAGACAGGAAGTATGCATATAAATATGTAAAGTAATTTGAGATGTAATAATAACGAGGTTTCATACACCAGATCCATCAGCCATTAGTAATTCAATCGATGAATAAATGAAAGTGCTAAATTTCATTGATTAGTTCAGGAACCTTCCCAAGTATTTATATATTTGTGGGAAATAATATTTTCTAAATTTCTTGAAAATAATGTATTATCTCAGATTTTAGCCTAACTCTATTACTCCTAATGGTACTTGTGAACAATCCTGTCGGATTGGACTGCTGTCTCCCAATGTTTATAACCTGTACACTGATAATTCTGATAAGCCACTGATAATCCCTACCTTTGTATTCATATTTATGGAAATTGAAATAGACAAAAACAAATGTAATAATTCCCACAACAATAACAAAACACTTTTTACAACATATATTTCTATCCTTTATTTTTATTTTTGAAAATATTTCATAGCTTCTTCTTCTGAAGATGGAAATTCCCACAGTGTAATAATATCCATTTGAACAATAGAGAATGGAACCAAAATAAACAATGGAATAACTCACATGTAACAGAAGGATAACAACAGCTTACACAAGATAAGAAGAGAGGTTATGAGACGTAAGATAAGATAAGAAAGTAGGTTTCGTCCAGACCAGATTCTTCACAAGTACCCTCCTAATTATTTTAAAAGTTAATTGTAACAGTGTTAATGTTTCTTTTGTTAAAAATAAAAATATGGTTGAATTTTTCATTTTCTGTAGAATTGGTAATGAATGGTTTATTTTGTACTTCTACTTACCTATATATGTAATACGTAGTAAGGAAAAGTATTACGATTGTGAAAATTTTCGAACCTGAGTTCTCAACAGAAATACATGTTTAGAGGTCCCTTGAGTCCAAATAACCAAGTCCCCCAAAATGGTCTGTGTGTGTTAATTGTCTATCTCAAAAAAGAAAAGTCATACGCAACTGAAATTATGTATTTAATGTTTATACATGGCTGAGGAGATGTCACAGCAACTTTTTTTTTTTTTTATCGAAATCCGCTAATCGGAAGTGTTATTTTATATCATCGATTTTACACATGTTTACAATTTTCTCAAAAACTGCTCTAACAATTTAGATTAGATTCATTTTGTTAGTGTGAAATTAAGCGGTTTTTAATATGATGTAGGTCTTATTCTCATTGATGTTCTCAAAATAACTAACAGGGTTTTAATGCCTAATTTTGAAAATTTCTTCCTTTAAGTACTCTCTTTTAAGTACCCTTAAATTTTTTTATTTGAAATAATTAATCGTTTCACATTAACAACTGATATAAAAAAATGGTTAAATATAATGAATGACAAAAATTGATTGGTAACTAAAGAAGAAATTAGGGTTGGAAGCTATAAAGAAAAAGCCGAAAGGGCCATACCTTTGTCGATCCTATCTCAATACAAATACCCGATATCCCTCTGTATCGGCTTTCATATTGTTAGTTCAACTTTTATAAATCACTTATCCATAATTTTTAAAATGGTTTTCATGTGAAATGTTGAGAATCTACCAATATAAACTTATTAATATACAATATTAAATAATTTAGTTACATTACTTTATTGTTTCATCAAGTTTAGTGATAAATGTTTCTGATAAAACTCAAAATTTTTCCAAAAATCCATTTTCCCCTAAAATCATTAGTATTGTTTGATACTATACTCAGTTGTAAAAGGAAATGGAAAGTGATGCAAACGTATAAATTTAACAGATTTGATAGCAGAAAAAACATGATAATGAATTGTGTTAAATGAAGTCTTACTGTCACTTTTCACTTTGACTTCCTCCTATATATGACAATACCTATCTATTTTATTATTGTTAAGTAAAATATGTGTGATGCGGGCACTGCACCAGATTTTTTATTTTAAAAATGTATAGAATAGACAAGTGTCATATTTTGACAGTACAGATTTTGTATTTTAAATCTACTACTCAAGATAGGTATAGATCTTTTGAGATCTTAGTTTTCCGTTTAACAGGAAAAAAAAGTATAAATCCTTAAAGTCCGAGCCTTAGTCATTACTGAACTAAAAACAGAAAGCTTCTAAGTCTGTTGGAAAAGTGTATGGCAATAGGAGATTATATTGATAAGTCCTGAAAGTATGGTTTGTGTATAACATTAATCATTGAGTTTATAAAAAATAATAATTGTTTATATTAGATTTACCCTCATGTAACCTCAGTTTATTTATAATTTTTATCCGCCAGTCTTGTTCATGTTAGTACCTTTTTATTTTTAATTGGGGCACAAATCATTTCTAGGTCATGCCTTTTTGATTAGCCTTTACCAATTTGTAACACTAAGTAGAGTCCTAGCATCATGAGTAACTCCATCTTTCCAGTAGAGTTTTCGTCTCCCAAGTCTTCTGATTCTCTACTGCTCCTCTTCTATGATTTTCCTCAAGATGTCCATATCACTCATGCAAGCAATATAACTAACCCATTTTAGTCTTCTCATACCGATGAAATGTTCAACATTTGGTTCTTTACAATGCTCTTACAGCTCCAAATTTCTCTTACATCTACATACTTGACCAATGCAGACCCCTCCCCTTTGTCTACCTTACTCTTCACCAGTTAGGTTTTCTTGTTTAATGAAGAATTTCCTCCAACACATTCCTCTCCAACTTTCCGACTCTCCAGCTCTCTGCAACTCTCACTCGATTGATTATGTGCCAAAATATTTTTCTTTCAAATACTATCAGATGTTCTTTGTTGCTCTTTGAGATGGTCCAGATCTGTCTGACGCATCTGTGCGTTTTTCTGCCCCTCTTGGGTCATGATAATTCTTCTATTGTTGTGGTGGTTAATTATACTTGTGTTAATTTTTGTGGATTTTGGCTCTCTCACATACCTCTTCAAACCAAGATTTTTTTTGTTCTTGTTGGTGGGGTCCTAATGTTTTCTCTGTACTGTTTGTCATGGCTTTGCAGAACGCATTCCAATAGTCATCTATACCAAGTTCTGAGGTTGGAATTAGTCTGAGTTCGGACTCTAGGTTAGATTAGTGTTGTGGATTCTTTTGTTTTGCATTATTGATTTAGTTAGTCTTTTCTGACACATGCTTCTTCATTAAGGAAATACGGTCTTTTAGATGTGCTGCAACTAGATAATGTTTGGAGTCCTTATTTGCTCCTCGATAGGTATGGACTTTAAGTAGGTTTTACCAGTTTCCAGATGATATCAGGAATTGATAGATTTGATTTACTGTTTGCCCGTCTGAGGATCTCCAGATTTATATATATATATATATATATATATATATATATATATACATATATGTTCTTACGAAGCAGGAATGTGCTTCAACTCTGTCATCTTCATACTGCCAATTTTGTATGTACTGTTTGCTTGTTTGCTTTTCAAACATTTAAGTAAAGCCTTTCTTTGGCTAGCTGAATTTAGTATTAAGTCGAAAATACTTATAAAACGTGCTGCCTGTTTTAACAACATCTAGTTGCATAGATGAGTGTTGACAAAACTTACATTTATGCGTGACACAGATGTCAAAGTATTCAGTAATTCTTGATTAGAAGTTTGCTTATTAATATTTCTTCTACATAATAACATATTTAAATAATGAAATAAATGAAAAATAGAGATAAAAATAATGATAATACTTAATTATTGAAGGACGTTAGTCGACTGTCATACATATCATGGGTGATAAATATTCAGGACGCAGTCATTATAAGGTTTTTATTAGTGTTATAAGGTTTATGTGGGTCATCATCAGGGTGTATTTCGAGCACTGAAGATATTCAAGTACTTGGAGTACTTGAATATCTTAAGTGCTCGAACCACACCCTGATGATTACCCACATGTTTGGATTGAAACGTCGGCACTAATAAAAGCCTATTAATCACCCATGATAATACTAAATGTTGACAATCATTTTATTCAGAGATTATCGCACTTTTACATTTTAGCAATTATATATTACCTTACTATTGCTGCTTAACTATAAAAATCTCTATAATTAAAAGTTTACTTGCTTATTTATAAATATTCTTCCTTCTCTATTGCATGTTTAATAAAGCACTGTTAATTGTTCCTATGTAGCTCTATTAAAATAGTGTTGTTTTGTATAAATATTTTTGTATGTTATTTTTCTGTATGATAATATTCTATTAATAATTCAAGTAAAGTAAATCACTGCAAAGATAATAATAACAATAAATTGTTTTGCATGATCAGTGGAAAATAAATATTGTGTAATGTGTTCTTCCCTAGAAAGTGTATTTCAAGACAGTGAACTGTATTTAATAGTTCAATTATTGTATTATGGTGTAGAGTAGTTTATTTTTATTTATGTATTTATTTATGTATTTATTTATATAGAAATAATCGAAGGTGTTAAAATTATTATATACTTTTGCGTGATTCATTTTTTATAGTAATATTACTAATTATTGTCTTATGTTTTCAGTTTTCACAACCTGTTGTAGCACATAAAAGTAAGTTATTGTTTTTTTTATTTACCTTTTGAAAGTATAATTAATTTAAGAATTATATATCAGTGATTTTTTTGTTTGTAATGTGAGTTTATTCAGATTTATATTGTTACTTTTTACAGGACTTGGTGGTATCAAACCTCGTCAAACCATGGTAGTACCAACTAATGGCACAGAAAACTTAAGACCTCCAGAAAGAGTAAGAGGTGTTGAAAACATTCCACCTGTCCAGATCCAGCAGACACAAAATTATCCCCCAACCAGGGTTTCATCTGTTCCAGCCACAATACCAGAAACGGCTGGTAAAATATTTATTTCTTTCTTTTCTTATGTAACTTTGAAAATCTTATTCAGTATATATTTTATTTGTCAGGGTATTTTAAAATGATAAAAGTTTTTCTTTTTCTTGTTTTTGTTTTAATGATTGAAATTTACAACTATATTAAATGATGAATACAACAAGTAAATATGAAACAAGTAACATGACACATACTACATGAAGAGACACTACTCATTGGTAGCACTCCAATTATCTTTCTATATTAGGAGGTCCTGAGGCCATCTTCTTTTCAGACGCCTCGAAGGGTTATCAGCAATAGAAGAGGAAGCAAGGTTGGAAACAAGATGGTTCTCCTGGGATGGTTCAGAAGTTTATTATGGAAGGATAGGTATCTGGATTGAGCTAAATCGGAAACATGTGGTACATTAAGGTCGTTATGTATGATTTTATTTGTGACAAAGTAGAGAGCATTGAGGATTTCGGATTGGATAAAAAAGGAATTTGATGGTTTAGTAGAGCCCCAAAGCTTGATCCCGTAAGTCCAAATAGGCCTTATTATAGTAATATATATGAGTCTTTTGTAAATAGTTGGAAGTTTAAAGCATTTGTCTAGTAAGTGCTGCATTAGTCGAAAACATAAAACAGTTTTTAGTCATTTCAGTCTGGTATGAAGGTTCCAAGTGAGTTGTTTGTCCAGGTGGAGTCCTAGGTATCAGATTTGTTCAACAGGGTTGAGTGGGGTATTGTTAAAGGATACTATAGGACAGGAAGTCATAGGTTTACGACGAAGTGTAAAGGTAATTTGATGGAATTTATTTTAATCCTCCAGTTTTGACACCATTTTTCAAGACTTGTGATGTGTGGTTGAAGAGTTTGGAATGCAATAGATGGATCGTTCTTAACTGATAGGATACACTTGTCATCGGCATAGGTGGTGATGACAGTGTTGGAATGGGTTGGGATGTTGGCTGTATAAACTGTTTAAAGGGTAGGACCTAGGATACCACCTTGAGGAACATCTGCAAACTGAGAAAAAAGAGATGAATAAGCATTGTTATGATTTACTTTGAAGTATCTGTCTGTAAGGAATGAATAATGAGGAAGTATGTAGGTGGTAGGAATTTACGAAGTTTTTACATCGGTCCCGGATACCAAACTCTATCAAACGCCTGTTCAATGTTGAGAAAGACTCCCGTGCAGTACATTCCACGCTCCGATGCAGAGGAGACTATGTCTACCACACGATGGCATTGCTGAATAGTGGAGTGGGATGTGCAGAATCCAAATTGGTGATCTGGGATGTGTTTAGAATCTAGGATGGGATATAGGCGTTTTAAGATGATTTTTTCTAGGATTTTGCCCATAATGGGTAAAATGGGTGATAAATATTCAGAACGCAGTCTTTTTTAAATTTTTTTATTTTTGCCAACGTTTCAACCCAAACATGTGGGTCATCTTCAGGGCTGAAAATGTTTTTTAAAATTACAATCAGAGATATAATAATATACGACCGCTAATTATAAATAATAAACTATAGTGATTGATGTCACGTGAATCTTAACTAATATTGTAATACACATATTAAAATTAAATATTAAAATAGTTATACAAACTAAAAAAAAGAAATGATGTGTATAATCCATTTATACAAATTTGTAATACTTTCTCTTACTAACCGTTGTTTGAGCACTGAGGGTGTTCAAGTACTGACACATGTTTGGTAGGTAAGTAAAAAGGTCAGGGGTGGAGGATTTCCCAGTTGTCCTTTTTCAGATAGCAAAAGGTAGGTAAACATAGAGGGGAAGGGGGTTAACATTTATGTTTATAGAATATACATAATTTGCTGACAAATATTTCAGACGGGTACAATATTTGAGTTATTTCATATGGTTACAGAAATGTGACTATTGACTAGTAATGAAATGAACATAAGCAAAAGGTGCCAATCAATATAAATATAGCTTAGTTTGATAGCAAGTATACAATGGTTAGATGAATAATTTTTTATAATAAAGACAATTTCAATGCATGCAAATGATACTTAGGACAATATATTGTACAATATTTTAAGAATAACAAAATTTATCATAACATATGTTTGTATTATATTAAGGATTACATAGGCTATTGTTTTAGGAGGCGGAAAATATTTGAATAGGTGTTGCAGATCTTTTCTTTGTCTACTTTATGGTTTACCGGATTATTTTTTTCCAAATTAATGAATATAGATTCCGATATTAGTCATTTTTGATGATTAGGAACTGTGGCGAGTATGGTTGGGTTTTCAAAATCAAATGTGTGATTTAGGGTTAAGGCGTGTTCCGCTAGTTTTGAGGCGAACGGGTTTCGTGTGGAGATGCTGTATTTGTGTTGATAGATTCGTGGTGTTGTTATCAACGCCTGGGGCTCTATTGCTTTTTAGTCCTATGGTTTCATTGATTTCTTCCTCATCTGGGGATTCTACGTCTTCACCACCTGCAATTGGATCATTTGCCTCTGAGACATTTGTGCCATTTCTGTTAAGAAGAGTTGAAAAGTATTCAGCCCATCTGTCCGAAATGCCTTGTTTGTCAGTTACTAAAGAACCATCGTTTGCTCTGCATCCTGTGGTACGGGCGCTGAAGGGCTTTCTTCCTTTATTAACAACCTGGAAGAATTCTCTAGTATTTTTGGAGATGAAGGCCTCTTCTATCTCCTGTAGACTCTTATTCTCCCATCGTCTTTTCTTCCTCTTATGGACATGCCTCTCACGCCTTCTCGTTGCTTTGTATTCCTCGACAGAGCTTCGTGTGTGCTTTTTTTGCATCATTTTATTATATGCAATGTTTTTTCTCTTGGTCACTGCACCACATTCGTCATCGAACCACGGGTTATATCTCTGCTTGGTCTTATCCCCTACAACCTCGTTCGCTACTTCCATAAGTGCAGTGTGGCATGAGTTCCATTGTGACTCGAGATTTGATTCTGGGACAGAGTTCCTTAATCTGATGTCCAGTTGGTATGAGAATCTAATGCTTGTATCACTGTCCTTAAACTTTTCAATATTGTACCTCTTCAGAGAACGTCGAGGCTGGTACTTCACTGTTGATATCCGATACCTTATTTTTGCAATTATAAGGTAGTGGTCCGAGTCAATGTTAGCCCCTCACTTTGTGCGAACATCAAGTAACGAGGATTTATATCTGGCGCTGACGAGTACATGATCTATCTGAGAGCTTGTAGTGGATCCATTTCGTCCTAATTTCCTCCATGTTTCTAGATGCACTAACTTGTGCGGGAAATAGGTACTCTTCCCAAAACCAAACCCTTAGAGGCTGCGAAGTTCACCACCTTTTTTCCATTGTCGTTAGAGTTCTCATGAAGGCTATTTCTTCCTATAGTAGGCATAAATGCTTTCTCTTTTGCAATTTGAGCATTGTAGTCTCCAATCACTATTTTCATATCATGAGCAGGGCAGTCATCAAAGCATTTCTCCAGTTCCTCATAGAATTCGTCCTTCATTTCATCTTCAAAGACTTCTGTAGGCGCGTGTTCACAGATGATGCTGACATTGTGAAATTTTCCCTTGATTCGCAGGATACAGAGTCTGGGGCTGATAGGCTTGAAGTCTATAACTTGCTGGGTCACTCTTCTTCCCACAATGAATCCAGTCCCAAATGAGTGTAATCGGTCATGACAACTGTAATAAATGGTGTGCTGGCCTTTCTTAAGGTTGCCTTGTCCAGTCCACCTGATCTCTTGGATGGCCGCTATGTCTATTGAATATGTGTTTAAAATGTTTAGGAGCGTTTGTGTAGCTCCGGGTCTATGTAGAGTTAAAACGTTCCATGAAGCCAAAGTGTAGTCCAATTGACGAGCATTGTGTCGTTTCCTATTTATCGGTCCGGCTAATCTTTTTGGAGCATTCATAATAAAAGTAATTTGAGGGGAATGGGTTATTGGTCCACTGCCCCCGAGTCAGGTGGAGGGGCTGCCTCCTCAGAGCGTCCTGACGTCGTGCTCCCCCATCCGGGGGCGGCTTCCTAGGGAAGGTGATCCTAGGGGTTGTTCTGTTAGTGACCTTGTGTCAGTGTGAGTGAATTGTGTACTGTCATATGTGTTTTGCGCAGTGTACTGGACTCAGGAGGCCGGAGGAGCGTCAGTCCCCACTAACTGTGCGCTACAGCTAGCCCCTGAGGCAAATTAAGTTAGTGATTTATATAATTAATGAAAGTTGGAGGGTATAGTGATATATGGTTGAATCTAATACAAAATCAGTTTTATTATTTATTTATTTTGTTATTATTTGATTAAAGAATATTAAAATCTATGAATAATAAATGAAGAAAATTGTTAAGTACTTATTATTATTTTCAGCCAACTTCCGCTCCAAAAGAAGTAATGTTGTGAAAGAAGTCGAGAAGCTTAAAAAGAACAGAGAAGAGCGACGGCTAAGGCAAGCTGAGAAAAAAGAAGAAAAGGAAGCCTTGATGAATATGGATCCTGGAAATCCTAATTGGCAATTCAGTAATATGATAAAGTAAATATATTAAGAATATCAGTTTTTAATTTTAAATATTTTGGTTTTATTACTGTATTTTTTTCTCAAGGTTCCTCAATATCTCCTAGCCTGTTTACTATTTATATTAATGACCTTCCCTTCCTGATGCATCACTCCTAATACCATATCTATACGGACGATTTCCAAATATACCTGTCCTCCCCCCCCCCCTGACCTATTTTCAGCCACAGAAAAACTTCAAGAAGACTTGGACAGGATTTTTTACTGGGCTAGAGCTAACAAGTTGAAGTTGAATGCGGAAAAGAAAAGGCAATCTTAATAGGCTCTGATCACCTCCTTAAAACTGTTCCTAATATTCCAACTGTGTTCCTACATGATAATCCCATCAAATTTTACCCCACCACAAAAACCTTGGAATAACCTTTGATCAAACGTTTTCCTGAAAAAACCATGTATCCAATATTTCCCGCAGTTCCATTTCCACTCTAAAACGTTTAAATTATTCCCGTCACCTATTTCCCTTTGAAACCCGTAGGCTCTTAGTCACTTCCTTAATTTTTCTCCACTTGGGCTATTGCTGTACAGTATATGGGGATCTTGAGGTGAAACTAAAACGTTTGTACGATTGCTTTGTACGATTCATCTTCAGGATCCCAGTATACGCCTCTGTTTTCCATGTCTTACTATGGCTATTTAATTACTCTGTATTTTTGTTTATGTATCTCTGAGGCTCCTTAGCCCACATTTCTGTCTTTCTGTATTATTCTATAGGGACTCATCCCAGAATAAATAAAGTATTATTATTTTAGAATTTCGCACTTCCTCAAACATTGCTGGGAATATCCATCTAACCGGAATCAGGTCAGGGTTAGGCTCAAATTTTAGACTATGTTTAAACATTTTCTGACGATATTCACCGCACCAAGAAGAACTGCTTTCTGTCCTTCTTCCAATACTTTTTCTGCCAGCTTCAACTTCTCAATAGAGCGGATGGTATCGTCTGGGATGAGGTCATTGCTGGAGATTACTACTGAAAATACTTGTATGTAATCCAGTCTATAAAGTTGCTGAAGTTCCTGGCACAAGTCTTGGTACTTTCTTACCTTTTCAGATATCGTTTTTCCGATATTATCATCAGTAGGGACAGCAATATCAATGACATAACCACTTATTGTGTTTCAGTCAATTAAGGCTATATCAGGTTTATTATTTATTATTGTGTGATCAGTAATTATAGAACGATCCCAATATATTGTTGTTTTTTTTTTCCAGATAGTATCTCTTTGGGCTCGTACCGATAATAAGAAACCTGGATATTATTTACTCAAGATAATGGGTTAGTCACAAAATTACAATTCAACAGGGTTGGTCAATGGTACATAGATAAGTGGATTAAAGTAGCAATTAGGGTTGTAGGTAGGAGGGATAAAGATATTAAAAGAGCTATTTTATTGTGTGGTGTCCCGAGTGTAATGAACAAATTTCAATTCCTCTTTTATATTTAAAGTTTGTTTCAAATATTTTTTTATATATAAACTTCCTTTCCTTTTTCTTTTTATGGTGTTGCTTTCCCTATCTAATATTTTTATGTTGATTCATTCTTTTTTTCAAATTTTGCAAAGACTCACCTATATAGATTTTTTTACAACAACTTTGCAACTGATATATGTTATTTTTGGAGTCCATTGTTTCAATTTTATCTTTTATTTTACTGAATTGGTTTAATATGATGTTTTATATTTCCATCTAATTTTGTATTTATCATATTTTAATTTATTAAAACATTCAGCAATTTGTGGATGGTATTGGAAACTGGAATAGTTTAGGTTGCCTTTTTTTTTTTTATTAATAAAAATAAAAACAGACAATCTGATTGCTACTTTAATCCACTTATTTAAGTACCATTGACCAATCCTGTTAAATTGTAATTTTGTGACTAACCCATTTTCTTGGGTGAATAATATGTAAGTTTATATTCATTTGTGCTTGTTTGTTTTACGTGAAATTACTTATATATAATAATGTAAAGTAAGGCTGTGTTTTCACTTCACCACATTTATTTTCATTTTACATTAGCTATGTTTCGGCTAGCATGCCATTCTCAAGCCATCTGTAAGACAAACTCCCAATTAATCTCATAGACCAATCCTGTTGAATTGTAATTTTGTGACTAATCCATTTTCTTGAGTGAATAATATGTAAGTTTATATTGTTTTTAACAGTGTTATATATGTGAATTATTATACTTATTTATGGGATACTGTTTTTAAGCATTATGTTATTTTTATGGATAATGGATTCATAAATGAACCTAAAAATATTTATTTATCATAACATTTTAGATTGCTGATGAGGACAGAGTTTCCTACAAATGTATTTTGCAATCAAATATTAATTTTTTATTAATTTATTTATGACCGTTAGGAAAATGAACCAATATATTTATTTTTCGATTGTAATGATTAATTTCTCAATATTTAAGTTTATTTAACATTTGTAATATCTACTATAACGCTATAAACACAGATGTATATCATAAAAGCTATTATTAAAAGTCTGAATATTGAGAAAAATCCATAGAAATCCATGCAGAGCCAATTTAGAAAACAGTTCTACAAGGGAGGAATACAACAACATTGCATGACTTCTCAACTGTGTTGAGTTGCTAAATAAAACAGCATACTCATCAGTCAAAAGATAATATTATATATAAATATAAGAGAGAGTTAGGTAGGACCATTGGAATACATATCAGGTATGCCTAGAACAGTTCAGAGAATCAAATAAGTGAAGGCTTAGATCAATGTATGTGATGATAGAATATTCCTAAGGAGTCTAAAATAATTGTTTCTGTCATAGTCTGCATCTGCTCCCTTCCAACTCAATCCTCTGCAAGAAATTACTTGTATCAAAAGGGATGCTTCCCCAGCTTCCGAACCATAGCCCTTTAACTGAGTATTCTCTCTCACCGAATTCATCTCTGTACTTTTCCTTCAGGTGATATATGCATTTCTTATAAATTTCCTCTTTCTCTGCCTGTACCTTGAAGTCCTGATTCTGATCATTGGTTTCAAATCCGATCGTGGGATCCACTATGAGTGCCTCCTTTTCCGTTGCATTGAACACCAAGATATCATTGAATCCTGTTGAGCCTTTTGTATCCAAGCATTAAACTTCGAGGAAACATTTATAGTTCTTTATTTCAAGGAATTTTCGGCTATACGATGCCTTATATTATTGTGCCGGCGGGTGACTAGGAGCATGTTATGTGGACAATTGCCCAACACATGAGCTGGGGTTTCTGACTCTTGGCCACAGGGGGTCAATTGCCAAAATTTAATAAAATTGTATACATTTTTTTTTCTCTGCTCCTAGTGCCCATTATCAAGAACCCTCAGACATAATTTTAATATTTTTCGACCTAGTATCACAAAAAAAAAGGGTCATTGAAATTGGTCACCCCACGTCCGTAATTTTTCTTTGTTAGTCTTTTATTGCTCCTTGTAGCTATTTTTTGAACCAATTTTTACTAGAGACGAAACCCTTTTTTTCCCCTTGTTCGACCTGTTAGGATTGTAATGTTTTCCTTCATCTATTTTATGGAAAAAATATCTGGTGCGAAGCGCGCATCATACAACATTCACTTACTGCTCTCTTCTCAGTGTAAATAAGTATTTTTAGACAAATGGGAAGTGAAATTAAAAATAATTAACACTATATTTATTTATATTTCATTGTGGATATTTTTATTTGTATAAGTATACTTACATATACAAATTTTAATATTTACATCGCTATATCTTACAATTAAATATTAAATTATACCAATTATACCAATTATACAAACTGCATATGTGTATTTACATAATATTGTCAGTGTCTTTATTATAATTAAGCTCATGTTACGTATGGAAGCGTGTACTAATCTTTCGGGTGAGCTCGGATGCGCTCGTATTCCTTTGGTTCCTCTATTACAACTATTCTCCGTTACAATCTCTTATTTCTCCTTTAGTTAATTAATCAAATTCTTTCATATTTTATATTTAACTATCATTTATATTAGAGATGAATGTGAAATGGTAAATTTTTCAAATAAAAAAAATAAGGTCCTTTAGGGGAAGCTAATATTGAAAATTAGCCATTTAAGCCCATATAGAGAACATCAATCAGAATAAAACTTACATTTTATTTAAAACTGCTTAGTTTTACACTGATATAATGAATTTAATCATAATTGTTAGAGCTGTTTTCGAGAAAATCGTAAAAATGTGTTTAGTCCACGATATAATAGGTTCCAATTCTAATCTTAAATCCATATCCTTCCTTCCTCCTTTAGTCATCAAGGATCATCCTATCACATTCAGCTCCTCCGTTAAAAACCTAGAAATCACCATAGACGAAAACCTCTCCTGGAAACCCCATATCGCTCTATCTCCCGTAAGTCAATAGGTACCCTTAAGCTATTTCATCGCTCCCGCCACCTACTCCCACAACCCATCCGCAAGCTCCTTGTATCCTCTCTCATTTTCCCCCACTTTGACTACGGCTGTGTGGTGTACGGAGGCATCCCAATGGTACTCGAGGATAGATTGAAGCGACTCATGAATACGTGCTTAAGATTTGTCTTCGGTACATCGAGGCGGTCTCATGTGTCCCACCTTTACGAAGAGTTAAAGTGGCTCTTCCCTTCTTTCCGAAGACAATATTTCCTTGGATCTTTCCTATTCCAAACGATCAACACCTGACACCCTTCCTACATCTACAGTCTCCTACAGTTTAAACCCGTGGTCCACTCCCAGAAAACAAGATCCCGTGTTTCCGACCTTTATATCCCTTCCCATAGAACTAAGACGTTTGAATATTCCTTTATTGCCCGATCCACTGCCTTCTGGAATTCCTTGCCTTCTGAAATATCATCTTTACCAATTCCTTCTCACATCCCAAAATGAGGTTATAAAATAAAATAAATATTGCGAAACAGATTTTGACTGAGGTGAATGGTTGTAAAAATTGATCGAGTTTTTAATTTTAGAAATCAACCCATGTTTATTTTATTTTGTTCTCTTTTCATTTAAATAATGTTTTTTTTTATTTTGTTTTCTTTTCAAAATGGTGTTATTTTTACTTGTTTTAATTTAATTTTACTGAAGATACTATATATTCTTTAACGTTGACTAATGTAATTTTTGGCCAGATGTAGTTTTTATTTTTTGTTCATATTTGTTATTCATTAGGGACCTTGTCCCAGAATAAAGTTTGCTTTCTATCTATCTATCTATAAAGTGCCACTTCCGGTTAGCGGATGTTGAAGAAAAAGTTGCTGTAACATCCCAAGCATATAAAAACTATAAATATGCAATTTCACTTTCGTATTTGAGCTAAACTGTTAACACACACACAGACCATGTTGCGGAACTTTATTATTTCTACTTAGGGGACCTCAAAACATGTATTTTCGTTGAAAAAAACAAAACAAAAACTCAGATTAGAAAATTTTCATGATCGCAATACTTTCCCTTACTGTATATTTCATATATAGGAAGTGAAAGTAAAAAAAAAATTGGCATTGCCTATTTTTCCTCTTGCTCTTGCTTCATATAGTTGTTTTTGAGAAAAATGGTCATCACCAATATGCTTACAAGTTTTTTCCTTTTCTTTTATTTACTGTAACTAAGCAATATTTATGAACACTTCAGCTTGATATGTAAGTGTGGATAGATATATTGACAAACATAAAAATAAATGAGGAAAACTGGTATACAGCTAACAATAAAAACTGACTAAAAAAATCAAATATAACCAATTCACTACTTCCCTCTCCCTAAACAACAGTGATAACAAATTTAAAAGGATGATGAAAATAAAAACAATTGTCACAACTGGGAAATATTAAATTGGCATGTAAACTTGGTGTCTGAATAAAGAATAAAATGCCTAAAAAGATGATTATTGCTTACCAACGGTTAAATCAAGAGGTGAATCAACACCAGGTGAGAGGATTGTGTTATATCTGATTATGTTGATTTTTATTAGATTCATTGCTGGGAGTTGTGTTGTTGCTATAGACAATAATCATCAGCGATATTTACTTGGAAATTTTGGGTTCACTAAAATCTTATTGTTATTAATGATATTACTAGTTACACTATGAACACTTACAAAGTTACTTTGAACCATCTATTTGTTAAGTTTATATTAGTGATTTTATAATCACTTAGAGTTGATTAATTATGTCTGTAATTTTATCAATAACTCTGCTGGTATATTTTGAAGTTAAATTCTCATTCAATTCCCAGGACCTCTAAGGATTTTTTCCAAAGGAGTTAGGTCTGGAATGGGATTCACTCAGCCACTTGAGTATATCTGAGTACCATCTTAAATTCAGAACCTTGTCTGTAAAACTGAACATGGGTTGTGAGGAATAACATGTAGCTGACTGTCACACCTCATTGTTTCAACCTATATTCGGTAGGCATTGTTTCTTTAGAAGGGATGTAAATCTATGGGTACTTTATTATTATTATTTGTTATATATGGATAGTATTTTAGATTGCCAGGATTGAGTTTGTACTTATATAGATGCAGCTGTGTTAATATAAATTTAAAAATCTAATAGTGCTTCTGCTAACATTATGTTACGTATTTATTCATGTTTCTATGCAATGGTAAATATTTATTTTTCTTCTGTTACACATACTTTATACATACATATATATATATATATATATATATATATATATATATTATATATATATATATATATATATATATATATATATATATATATATATACACACATATATTTTTATTATTTATTTATTTTTATTTCTTAACTTATTTTGGTGTTTTAAACTAACTTATGAATAGTGTATCCAATAGCTTCAAGCTTTCGTCTGGTTTCATATGATTTTATTCTCTCTCTTTTTTTTATATAATAGTAATAGTATAACGGAAACTCCTAACATTTACGACTAAACCTAATGAACATTTTCAATAAATAATTGTTTTATTTCAACTATTTGCGTAATTAATTTTTTTTTTAATTAAACCATTGTTTAAAGTAAATCAATTGATTTCAAGATGATTGGAGGCTCCTAGATGTCCTATGACAAGGTGGAGATAATATAAGAAGAGCAGAAGGGTGCTTAGTTACCTCAATGGGTGCTTGTGTTCATATGTCTATTACAGTGTTTAAAAACAGTGTATGAACTTTGTTTCACTATTAGAGGGCTGGAGAAAAATTTAAGGTTATTTTTTAAGTTTTGTAATTAGAAATTAATATAGATTGGAAGTATTTTAATAGTTATTCTTAAACAACTTGTGACCTTTAAAGCTATCGGCCTATATGTCTCTTCCAAGTAGTTTTTAACCTTTATTCCTCTATATTGGAAAGAAAACTCATGACAATCATTGAAGGTGAGTCGGAAGATGTATTTAAACCATAATGCCTGAAACAAGATCTTACACTCAGGACAATGGAAGAGCATTTATCTTTTGTTCCAGGATTTAAAATCATCCTTCAACTAGGTTCCTGGACAAGAAATATTTATAGCTTTTTTGCTGCTATAAATATAACCAATGAATCAGGATGTGCCATAGAATCAATTCATCATAACTCTTAAGATATAATTACGCTAAAATAGACAAAATTTGAGACTTTCAGTATGAGTAAAGGGATTAAACAATATGAAAGCCTTAGACCCCTTCTTTTTATTATATTTATGGATGATAGCTCAAGGGAACGTCGAGGGAACCTTCTACAATTACATGCTCTTTAGCTGTCATGCACCCTCAGAAGCCTCAAGCAATGATGAGAAAGAGGCCTGGAACGGGCCTTTGATGCATGCTCCAGATCCAATATAAAAATCTTTAATGCAAAGATTGGAAGAGAAGGTGCATATAAACCCACGATTGGCTCATTCAGTTTGCATGAGAGAAGCAATGAAAACGGCAAGTGGGTCATTTGCAGCATCAAGAAATCTAGTAGTTGGGATGTTTCACCTCCAGTTCCATGTTTAACCTCTACAAATATTATTGTATACTATGTATTATTTTTAATAAGTGACTTTAAGATATGAATATAAATTGATATTTATGATCTGTTCTTTAGTAAATTTAGATATTCAGATCCAAGCCCTAGTGATAAGTTAACACAATAAGTACCGAAGTACAATAAGTGTTCATTATTTTATTTTTTAGCCAATAAGTTATAAGGCCATTATTTAATGTTTAAAATAACGTATTAACTTTATTTTACTATAAACCATATTACTGGGGGAGGTATTAAGAATGAATTTTCAAATTTTAATTTTTAGAAGTTAGTGGTTTAAGTTGTATTTATTTTGTTAAAATAGCTTTCGAAACTTTGATTTATAAAATCAATGCAATTAAATCACATTGTTGTTTAAACTAAACAGTGATTAATAAAATAATTAAAATATTCAAAGTATTGATTTCAATAACTGATTTTACTTAATATATTTGTGTTTGTTTCTAAGTAATAAGTAAGTAGAGTCTTGAAGGAATCATTAATCACTATCAGTTTGATTAATTTATCATCTGTAATTCTTTTTCAAAGAAATATTTAAAATTTTTATTGGGTTTCATACCATTATCTATTTTATCGAGAATGGGAAGGAGATGGTGCCTGCAGAATGCTAACTTATTACAGCTCGAGTGGTAAGATAAAGATTTTTTATTGGTCTGCCATGATATGAAAATCAACCTTCATAGGCTAGAGTCAAACTAACATTCACTTTTGACTCCCATATGCCAGGACTTATTTTAAAGCAGCTTGTATTTAAAGGCTGTTTGATAAAATCTCATTAAAATATGTATAAACAACATATTTTTAATTTTTAATGCATAATTTCATTTTGCAAGTTTCTAATCTCTAAATTATTTTTTTCTTCCTTTTGTACAGAGAGTACCGAAATGGTTTGGACTTCAGGCCATTAAGGGAAAATGATATCATTGAAAATCATCAAATTACTGTATGTGTCAGAAAAAGACCTCTCAACAGGAAAGGTAATTTTATTTTATTTATTTTCTTTTGAATCTTAATTTTTAAAAACTAATATTTTTTTATGCTTTAAGAGAATTTAAGGAAAGAAGTTGATGTGATCACTGTACCACGAAAAGACATAATTGTTGTTCATGAACCGAAAAATAAAGTAGACTTAACTAAATATCTTGAAAACCAGCAGTTCAGATTTGACTACGCTTTTGATGAATTATGTAGCAACGAAATTGTTTACAAGTAAGTTAGATGTGCTATTTCTAATATTTTAAGACCTTTGACCATAACAACCTCTCTTCCTCTTTGCTATAGTTCAGGACCCATACCATACTTTCTATTTCATATTTATTATCTGATTTTATTGTTTTTTAACCTGACATTCTTGTGAGGTTCTTAATAGTGTGGCAATACATTTTAATCTTATCAAGCTCATTCATGTTGTAATATGTCTGCATTCTTAAACCTTAGAAAGAGAATTAACAGATATAAAGTAGAGCATATGTTATACAAGGGGTGCCCAAAAGTAACAGGAGTTGGGCTGCGGTGGGGAGGTGTGAGGCTGAGTGGGGGAATCCATCGTTCGATCTGGTGTCCATTAGGAACACGTCTCCTGAGTTAGTGTGCGAAGTTGCGTTCTTCTGGGTTAAACTGTCGACCAGAAATTCTATTTGTAGGTTTTGAAAAGATTGAGGGAAAGAATTCGGAAGAAAAGGGCAGATCTTTGGAGCACAGGCGACTGGTTCTTCCATCATGACAATGCGCCGGCCAACACCGCCCTTTCCGTAAAGCAGTTTTTGACCAAAAGTGGCATGACGCTGATTGTCTAGCCCCCTGTGATTTAATTTTGTTCTTAAGACTCAAAAGGGACATGAGAGGAAAGAGTTTTGCCACTGTGAAGGAGGTAAAATACTGTCTTCGAAAGGAGGGGAAGAGCCATTTTAACTCAGTGTAGTGGTGAGAGACATGGCAGTACCTCGGGCCACCAATAACAAATCTTACACAGCTATTCATTAATCTTTTCAGTCTATCTCGGAGCTCCACTGAGAGGCCATCATACAGCTGTGTGTAGTCAAAGTGAGGGAAGATGAGAGAGGAAATTAGTAGTCTACGGGTATGTTGAGATAGGAGATGGCGGAAGCAATGAAATAGTTTAAGGATAGAAATTGTTCCACGGGAAATTTGAGAAATATGGTAGTTCCAGGAGAGGGTTTGATCTATAAAAAATCTAAATTTTTTAACAGAGGAGTAGAAGGAAATTGGCTGGTCATTAAGGTGTAATATGGGAAAGTCTGTGTGGAATCTAATAAGGGGCTTGGAACCAATGACAATGGCCTGAGTTTTGCCAGCATTTAACTTTAATCCATTTAAATTTGCCCAGGCACTGATTCAATCAAGGTCTCCTTGAATCTTGGCAAATGCTGCCAATAACTCAGGGGGAGAAAAGGATAGGTAGATCTGGGAATCGTCTGCATAAAGGTGGTGGGAACAATGAAGAATTGAATTATGTAGGTCGTTAATGTAGGAGCTGAAAAGGATAGGAAATATGCTTGAACCCTGGGCAACTCCAGAGGATAAAGGAAGGTAGGCAGATAGTGGTTGATTGGGTATGGAGACTGCTTCGGTGCGTTGGGAGAGAAAAGATTGGAACCAAGAGATGGAACTATTGGAGAAAGATAATGATTTTAGTTTGCTGAAGAGGATGGAATGGTTAATGGTATCGAAGGCTTTGGAGAAGTTGAGATGTATAAGGACAGTTAATTTTTTATCATCTATTGCAGATTGAATGTTGCTGGTAATTTTAATTAAGGCAGATTGTGTGGAATACCCGGGACGGAAACCAGATTGGAAAGGATCAAATTGGTTAGACTTTTCGAGGAACTTGGAGACTTGGGATTGCACCAGTCTTTCATGAGGCTTTGAGAGGTTAGAAAGAATTGAGATTGGACGGAAATCTTCGGGCGAGGATGGATTAGGCGAGGTAGGGAATAGTGAATTCTGAAGGGAGAAAATGTAGATAAAAAGGAGAGCTGGGAGGATTTCAGGGAGACATAATTTTATTAATTTGACAGGGATGCCATCTGGTCCTATGGAATTGGTGTGGGATTTCATTACCGCGGTTAAAAGGTCTGTGGGAGAGATGTCGGAAAAATAAAAGTTATTGTCGTTAAAGGATATCTCTGGAGAAAAGCTGGAAGAGGAAGGTAGAGAAGAGGTATTAGCGACAGATATAAAATGAGAGTTTAATCATCAGAGGATACGAGAAAGGCTGCAGTGGGGGATCTGGGAGGATTACAAATGGAAAGTTTACGAATCAGTAGCCATTTCGATTTGATATCAGGAGCTGAGGAAAGGGTTTCATGGAAGTAGGTAGCTTTCACATGCCAAGGGGCCGGGGTGGCCAAATAGGCTAAAGCGTGTGTAACAGCACTGCTAGTTGCCTGGCAACCGGATAACAGAGATTTGAGATGATATAAAAAGTACGAGTTCGCGTCCCGGTGCCGGAGGGGATTTTAAATTCCCCGCCCTCACCCCCCGGCCCGGGAAAATCCCGTATAGCCTAAAAGGCGAGGTAGGGAAGAACAAAAAAAAAAAAAAAAAAAAAAAAAAGCTTTCACATGCCGGATCCTTGTCTGTGCCAAATTGCAAAGCTTCCTGAACGCTCGGTAGTCATCTGCAAGCCTAGTACGTCTAAAACGTCTTTGGGCAGCGCCTCTCCTGCAGATCTTTGATTTCCTTACACATCCAAGGAGCAGGCCTGAAAGGTAGAGGGTTTGAGGGGAGCATGGGTACATATGTAAAGATATTAAAACTTTTCTGAAATAGGTATGGAAGTCATGTGAGTGGACACACCAGATTTTTTTATTTGGGTCCACCTCTTCGACATTGAAACTATACGAAGCTTTTCCTTGGTGGAAGGCGGGGATGTTTAAAACTCCCCTGGTACCAGGACGTGAACTCATAATTATTTTATCATGTAAACTTGAGTTTATAAGGTTCTTTGTCTTTAAGGCTAAAGTCTCCCTCCTGAAATTTTTTGAACCACCGTTGAACAATGCACTCATTAATGGAGCTCTCGCCCTAGACTTGTTTTTTGTTTATGTCTGTCTGGACCCCATTCCGGCCGAGTTTAAACTCATAAAACAAAATCATGCGTTGACATCTTAGTAAAGACTGAATGATTTCTAAGCAGCGAAATACTACAGAGGTAAACAAACATCGTTTGGAAGAGGATTAATTAGTGTTGACGTTCATACAAATGAATAATCCAGTAAATGTAAACAGTTTGTTATATAGAGGGATATTTTAATGAAAACTCAAAATCCTACATTATTTTGCGGACAGCCCAATAGAGAATATACTATAAATATTAAGACTGAATTAATAGCATGATCAATAAATAGGTTGTCAAATTACTATAGAACCATAAATCCTTTTATCTTTCTCCATATTCGTTTTTACATTACAATTTTATAAATATATTACATTTTAGGACTAATAATCTAATTATATTGATATTCTCTTTAAAAATATATATTTTCCTTTATAGGTTCACGGCAAAACCCCTGGTACAAACTATATTTGATGGTGGTATGGCTACTTGTTTTGCATATGGCCAAACAGGAAGTGGAAAAACCCATACAATGGGCGGTATATTTTCCGGACGAACACAAGATTGCAAAAAAGGGATATATGCATTAGCCGCTGTGGATGTTTTCAAATTCTTAGCTTCTCCTAAGTATTCAACTCAAAATCTAATAGTGACAGCCAGTTTTTTTGAGATATATAGTGGGAAGGTAAATTTCTTGTTATTCAGTTAGATTTTAGTGAGCTTATTTAAAAGATGGTTCAATAATATTGTTAACGCCGCATATACTTTATCTTTCCTTTTTTTTCATTATTATTTTTTTTTTTGTCATAGACATAGATAATTTTCCCAGAAATTTAATTTAATGTATATTATTTAAATATTAGGTATTATCCGTGATGTATTGTCGCATTTGTATACACTCCAGCCCTGCAGTAATACTCAGTCTTAGGGATTAAGACGACCAAAATATTACGATAAGAATGCCGGGAGTCAGTCAGGAGCGAGCATTCATTGACATTGGGTCCATGTACTAGACATCTTCCCCCACCTTCCCACCAGCTGCTCTAGTTAACTCAACCCCACCGGCCTAGTATAGCGCCTTTTTGTACAACATAGCTGATCGTCACATCAGGAGCCAGCTTTTGTTGATATAGGTTCTACACTGGAGATCAACAGTATCCTCTACCCCACCAGTCAACCTCACCTTGCGCCATTTTGAATAGCCCAGCTGTGGCATCGGCAGTCATCGATCGAGATCGATATACATATTGATACTCCTCACCTTCGATAGCTGAACATCAAGAGAGGTAACCTAGATGGAAGTAAAATTGCTGTTTACTTTCCTCTGGGATCGATTTTTTTCATCTCCACCGTTAAAAAAGACAATGAATATTAATTTAATTTTTGTTTCCCCTCTAAATTAGTTTTATTCTTTTTGGACATTCAATTGAATTTTAATTTTTTTTTTTCTTGTTTTTATCTCTAATTTTAGAAGTTTATTTTTATTTATGTTTTCTTTTTGGATGGACAATTTTTTATTTTCGTAGGATATTATATTTATGTTTATTTACATTTCAATGAACTTTTACACCATTTTTTATTTTGTTTGTTTTAACTTTTTTATATATTTATATCTCTCTTTTTTGTATTCAATAAATATTGTAAACGTTCAAAAGGGGGATTATTTATTTATTTTCCGTTTTGATTAATGAATATTTTATTTTATATTATTTAATGTGCATGTGTTTCGCGTATAGTTACCTATTTATATGTTGTTTACAGGTCTCATTTATTTTCTTCATTCTAATACCTTTATTTTCTTCATTTTTAATTTCAATCATATTTCCCACCATTGAGGAAACTCACCGGGGAAAGGTTTATATTTTTGAGTTTGAAATACCCCTGGCACCAACAAGTATGATCTTTTTAGTCTTGTAATCCTAGCTTTAAAATGTAACAGTAGCATTGTAAACCAGACTGAATTGTCTTTAAATGTAAGTAGAATTTGTCTACATTCAATCATTTATAAGTGCTTTTATGTTCATATGATTTTATGTCTATATTTCATAAAATCATGAATTATTCATGATTATTTTTGTCAGCCTACTTCTGGAATACAAAATTCCCACTTACTGGTTTTTAGAATAAGCCTATATTCTTCTCCAGTTTTGTAAAAAAAATTTGTGATGTTAAATTCTGTCTCTTCAAAGTACTAGTTTTTTAATCAAAAACAGTTAAAATAATTTATTACATCATAAATTATAATAATAATGCTTAGCGAATCCAAAGGTTCGATGCCAGTACCACCAATCAATTTCCACATTCTTCCATCCACCAGGCTCTGTCTAAACCCAACCCCCTCACCAGATCAGACTTAATGCAATCTTCCCACCTTCGCTTTGGTCTACCCATCAGACGCTTGCCTCAACTTAATCATCTCAATTATATTAACCGGATACAGTTCCTACAATTTAGCATTGTATAACTGCCTAAATTTTCCAGTTGACTCGTCCTTTTTTGGTCCAAATATTTTGCGCAATACTTTATTTTCAAAAACTTTAAGAAATTGCTCATTCCTTAATGTAAGAGGCCACGTTTCGCTCTATAAATAACCATTGGAAGGATAGTAGTATATAATACATTATATGTAAAAAATATTAAATACTTTTATATTTGTCTGTCAACTGAATTCTGGAATGTTTCAAAATTCAATTGAAAGAGGTGAACCAAATACATAAAATTTGCATTATTTGAAGATGATTTTTTTTTAGTCAACATAACACTGGACCCCCCCTCAGATATCAAAATGTCTGCCAAAGATCAGAGGGCAGAGCATTACACCAGTTAACGAAATTCAATGTCCACATTCTGGTTGTTTTTTATGCAATGCTTGATTCAAATCGATCATATGCTGTCGATAGTTTGAAGTTTCACCAGGTTTTAGCAGCTCATAATTTACCACACCCTTCTGATTCCACCAAACACACAGCATTTTCTTCTTTCCATAGCAACTTGGCCTTGCAGTCAATGTTGATGGTTTGCATAGAGTTATAACCATGATCTTTGACGCTGAAGAATCTCAAAATATATTCACTTTTCCTTATCACAATTCAAGGGAGAAATTACTTTCTTTTGTACCTGGTGAGTAGTATTTCAGAGTTGCTTTTCCATTTTTCTTGCTGCCGTTCATTCAGTTCATTAGAAACCCGTTTTCCCATCTTTTGGATTTTTCCCATGACTTTGATACTTATGGAGACAGCTTCTCATGTTGCATTTAATTGATCCACAAGTTGTTGGGTTTGAGCATCATCCTCATTGTACAGTGCTTATAATTCGCTGTCTTCAAAATTTTTCAGTTGTCTTCCTCATTCTTCATTTCTCTCGTCAAAATCATCACTTTTGAATTATTAGACCACTCAAAAAACTGTGAATTTACCAAGAGCATGCTCACCATAATTTTGACAAGCATTCGATGTGATTCTGCTGCAGCTTTCTTCAAATGGTAACAAAAATTAATGCTGTCCGCAAATCATTGTTTTTAGGTGCAAAACTCAACATGTTCAACACTATTAAAACAATGCTGTTATATAAAACTTGTATTGCTGTAAGTTGAAAGTCTTTGCCTGCTGTCGAACAGACGAAATGGTGCAAATAATGCGGTTTAATAATAAATACATTAACAACTAGATTCATCTATGAACAAATTCCGGTTTCATATTTACACACCTGGTAACAGAAGGTTAAAGAATAAAGAAGAGAAGAATAGTTGGGATGATCAGTCAAATAAGCAGGCAAAAATAAATGATAATATTTATTTTGACATTTGCCAACGTTTCGACCTGAAGTTCAGGCCTTCATCAGGGCTAAGAAAAGAACCAGATAACAAGGTATGAGAAAAAAAAGTAGTGTAGGTAAAAAATTAAAGTAAAATGAAGTTGTTCGAATAATGACAATAGTAAGAACTGAGAGATAAATAAATTGTTAGAATAGTGACAATAGTAAGAACTAAGAGATAAATAATAATAATCGTTCCAAAGTGTGGAATGATGAAGTAAACATAATTAAAAAAGGTGACATGAGTATTAAAATGGGAATCTTTAAATAAAATGTTAAACAGAAAAGAATATGAAGTCATATAAGAAATGAAAATAAATAGTAAAATTAAGATATTGCAAATAGAATAGTTAGATAGAAAATTTAGATATTGTAAAATCTATCAAAATGTACAGACAACGTATAATATAATAAAGAGTTAAAACAGAGAAAAGGAACGAAAGGAAGGAGGAAAGAAACTGAGAAGGCTGAAATAAGAAAGAGAAAAAAGAAAAAACAAACCTGTATCCAAAAAGGTTGATGGATAAATGAGAATCTGGTAGCAAGGGAGAGGGGAGAGAAGAGATGTATTGTGGCGTCATCTCTAACGGTTATCTGACGAAGTTTGAACTAAAGTACCAGAAGCATAAATAATGGACGAGAGATATATTACTCATAAATATTATGGATAATTAAACGAAAGTTTAATAGAAAGAGGATGGAAATCTAGAGAGGGAATAAAACAGAGATAATAACTGTTAAGTAATAATAGAGAATAATTGAAATTAATACATATCACATATGTATATATATATATATATATATATATATATATATATATATATATATATAATATATATATATATATATATATATATATAGAAATAGAAAAATCATCTTTATTCTGGGACTAGGTCCCTTTAGAATAACAGTATTGTTCATATATATTAACTACAAATCTGGTCAAAAGACTTATTACAATGAATAATGACAAAATACATGTAATACATTAAGTATTAATTAAGCTCTTAGGATAAATTAACGAGGACAGTTGGGTAATAGGGGTTCAGTACTACAATATTGGAGCTAAAATAATTGCATAATAATCACTGAATGAAATTAGAAAGGAAAGTAAAATCTATTTTATAGGTAAAGTATTGTAGTGATGGAATATAAAAATTAAAAAAAATAATAATAACTGTTAATATGTAGGGAAAGAAATTGTAAAAACTAAAACAAAAAAATATATAAAAAAACAAATAATGATATACATATGTTCCCTAAGATATTTAAGTGATTATGCGTAAAGATTAGGAGAAGAGAAAATAAAATAAAGTATATATATACACATAGCGAGAAGTATGTTGAAGATAATTAGAAATAAAATACATTTCACTGAAATACATTCCATGAATAACAAATTAGAACTTAAGGAAAACAAATTTTATCTACTCACAATGCTTAGTGAGTGGTGATGAAAATTCACGTTCAACACAGAATAAAACAATAAAAATAAGAGAAAAAAAAATAATGTCTAATGAAAATTAAATCCTTATAACATAGTATGTATTTAACCAGCGTCTGATTGGATTGTGAAGAGGAATTGGAATAAGAGGGTTTTAAAGGTGGATAAGGATGATGCATGGCGGATTTTTAGTGGGATGGAATTCCAGAATGCAGTGGAACGGACAACGAAGGAATGTTTAAATGATGCAGATCTGTGGAAAGGAGTGTAAAGGTCAGAAGGACGAGATCTTGTGGAGAGGGTGTGGATAGATGATTTGAATTGTAGGAGATTGTATGCGTAGGACGGACGATGACTATTGATTATTTGGTAAAGGAATGTGCCTAGGAAATATTGTCTTCGGAAGGAAGGGAAGAGCCATCCTAATTCAGCATAGTGGTGCGAAACACGGGAATACCTCAGGGCCCCTGTGACAAATCTTACGAAGGCATTCATAATTCTTTTCAGTCTCTCCCCGAGTTCTGCCGAGAGGCCACCGTACACCACGCAGCCGTAATCAAGGTGGGGGAAGATGAGGGAAGTTACTAGGAGTCTACGTGTGGAGATGGGTAGGAGATGGCGGAAGCGATGGAATAGTTTCAAGGTACCAATTGACTGTCGGGTAATGTGAGCAATATGGTGTTTCCAGGATAGGGTTTGGTCTATGAAAATGCCTAGGTTTTTTACTGAGGAGGTGAAGGTAATGGGATGGTCATTTAGGTACAGTATAGGTATGTTGGTATTGGCTCTGAGAAGGGGTTTGGAACCAATGACAATGGCTTGAGTTTTTGCAGCGTTTAACCTTAACCCATTTATATATATACACATATACATACATACACACACACACACACACATATGTTTATATATCTATATCTATATATATATATTTTTTTTTTTTTTTTTTCTGTTGGCTCTACAGATCTTGTAGATCTTTGGCCGCCTGAACCAGCCTTCTCCACCTCTGCCTATCTTGGGCTACTGCTTTCCAGTTTGCGGCATTAAGCTCAGCCGTATCTTTGTTCATCCTATCTATCCATCTGGTTTTTGGCGTCCTGATGGATTACTGCGAGCTACATGCCGTGCCCATCTTAACCTCCTTTCCTTCATGTCATGAGATATTGACTGACCCGTTTTATTCAACAGTTCTTTATTGTTCCTTCTCCTCCATGTGTTTAATTTCTGGTTCCATATAGGTCCTGTTATCCTACGTAGAACTTTTCTTTCGAATCTCTCAATTCTGGCTTCTAATGTGCCTGTTAGAGCCCAGGTTTCACAACCGTACAACAGAACTGGCTTAATCACGGCATTGTACACCCTTATTTTGAGATTCCTGGAAATTTTTCAGAATTTCATTACCTTTGAAAGAGAGAAGAAAGATCTGTTTGCACTTGTTATTCGCTGGTCTATCTCTGTTAGTTGATCATTTATTGAGGTTATTGTGGAGCCGAGGTATTTGAATCTGTCTACTTTCGGGAATGACTTAGAATCCACGCAGATCATGCTATTAGGATGAATATTTCGGCTAACTATCATGTATTTTGTTTTATCTACATTGAATTTTAGTCTGATTTGCTCTGCTTCTTTTAATATAGTCTGAGCGAGTCTGTCAATATCCTCTTAATTACTTCCAAGGACAGCTATATCATCGGCATATGCTAGGATTTTATGTTTCATTCCAACGTGCACCCCTCCATCTTGGCATGATGTTATTCTTATTACTTTCTCTAGTGCTAAGTTGAACAGCATCGGCGAGAGTCCATCTCCCTGCCTCAAACCTGTTCAAACTTCAAAGGCTTCAGATACGTCTCCTTGTATTAGTACCCTGCAATTTGTACATTTGTACACGCCTTCGTCAACCTCACTAATATCCCGGGAACACCTAGCTCAGTCATGATCTTCCAGAGACAGTTTTGTCAGCCGAGTCATAGGCTGATTTGAAGTCTGTCCCAGACATGTACGTCCTGATGTACTTCCCATCGTTTTTCAAGTACTTGTTTCAGGATGAATATCTGATCTAGCGTATTCCTCCCTCTCCTGAATCCTGTTTGATGGTTGCCTATTATGTTTTCATAATACGGATATATCGGATTTAACAGAATATTAGTCATTATTTTATAGGTGACCGGAAGAAGTGCTATGCCTCTGTAATTGCCACATTCATACATGGAGCCCTTCTTAAGGATAGGACAGATCAACCCTGTGTTCCATGCTTCTGGTATCAGTTCCTTTTCCCATATCTTCTGGATTAGATCTAACAGCTTGGCTTTGAGTTCTTCTCCCCCATCCTTGAACAATTCTGATGGTAGGTTGTCTATCCCTGGAGCCTTTCTTCTTTTAAGCCTGCCGATAGCTATTTCCACATCCAGAAGTGGGTCGATGTCCTCAGTGTGGTCCATGTCTTCTTCATTAGTGGGTCCCCCTTGGTTAAGCAGCTGCTGGAAGTGTTCCTTCCAGATGCTTAGGATATTTTCTTTTGATGCCGTCAATTTGCCATCTTTAGTTCGCATATATTTCCAGCCTGTCAGTTTACCTCGATAGTTTGTAATCTTTCTTTGAGGAATTCTCTTTTGGCTGTTCTTATTATTTTGTTTGTCTTTTTCCTGGCTGCTGTGTATTTGTCCAGCATAGCTTGATCAGTTTGTAAGCAGAGGACTTTTCTTCTTTCCTCCACCGTCTTTTTGTATGCTTCTGTGAACCATTTCTTGGCTATTGTTTTTTCCTGAATCCCTATTACTTCCTTAGCTGTTTGTTTTAGCCCTGACTCTAGTGCCTCCCAGTGTTGGTCAACCGTGAGACCTTCCGAGTTCAATCAGGATGGTCAGGAGATCAGGATGTGGTCTAGGAGACCACATCTCGCTGTCAAAGATCTTCATGGTCTGTAGCACCTACCGAAAAAAAAAATATATATATATATATAAATGTAATATAAAAACATAAATGTAAAAGTATAAATGAGGATGTATGTTATTATTATTATGTTAGTTGTCTAAACCCAACCTGGGAATTATATATGTGTGAGAAATAAATGTTGGCTATTTACTGAACCTATTAAGAAACTTTTGTATATTTTAATTTTTCATAACCACTAATGACTTAATATTTGGGTTCCAATGATGTATAGCTTATGTAAGTATTGTATAATTTATTTATTTATTGGAATGGAAATCACATATATATATTTTTATTTATAGGTGTTTGATCTACTAGCTGACAAAGCCAAACTCCGTGTTTTAGAAGATGGAAAACAGCAAGTACAGGTTGTAGGTTTAACTGAGAGGGTGGTCACTAGTGTTGATCAAGTTCTCGCTTTGATTCAGAAGGGTAATCAAGCAAGGTAATGTTAATTTAGTCATTCTCTACATCTTATATTTGAAACATATTCTAATTAATAAAACTTCAAGTCTTAGTTAAATAAAATACTTTTTTTTTGCCTTATTCATTTAATTAATTCTTCGACTGAAATATATATATCTTGCTCATATAATTAGAATGCTTTGCAAATTTTGGAAGTGAAAGATTATTGAAAAAATGAATGTTTTGAATTGAAAAAATATTGTTTATTCATATGACAGAATTGAACTTTTTAAAGCTTTTTATAAAACTTTTATTTAAAAGATATGTTAAAAGCAATTCATTTAACCCAGGGGTCTCCAAACTACAGCCGGATCTGGCCACAAAGTACCTCCAATCCATCCCGCAAAAGTTTTTTTGATTATGTGGTAAAATTTAAAAACCATGAGAGTTAGTAAATCACTCAAACTTGAGTTTCATAAACAGTGCTTGTGAAAGTATAATAATGGACCCTTATATTAAATAAATCCAAAAAGTTTAAAAAATCGAGACATGATTGCTCAATTTTAAAATCAATAATATTTTCTTAAATAGTCCGACAACATTATAATGGACCCTTTTATATATATATATATATATATATGAAAAGCAAAAAGTTACAGTACTTGAGATACGATTGTGCAATCTTAAAACCGATAGTATTTTCATAAGAAGCACTCCCGACAACATAACAACGGACCCTTATATCATAGAAATCCGAAAAGTTTATTTTGAAAAAAAACTAGTCATAATTTCAAAAGTATGAAACATAAAAATATGTTTTTTGGAATGGTTAACCCTTGAATTATGTCATTTACTGAAAATGTTTATTCAGCCAATATTTTCACTGAATAAATTTTTATTCAGCTGATATTGCTTATTGACTTCACGAATAATGTGAGATTATTCAGTTTTTTTAGAATTCAATAATGAATAAATGTCTTATTATTTTTAGTGGTTGAAATTTAAATAAATTTTTGTTCATTATTATTTATTGGTTATTCTAATGAAATTTTTCCAACTGTGAATGGGAACAGTAGTTATACGTTTAAATTCACAATTTGAAATTATACATTTTATGTATAACTAATGGTTGGTTTTATTAAATCAGCATGTATTTACTTATTTTACAAAGATGATAAATAATCAGGATTTTTAGTCTAGATTTGTTTTATTCAACTTGCCAACCTTTTGACCCTAGCATGTGGGTCATCATCTGTATGATGATAATACCTAACTAATATTAAAAACCATTCAATTCAACATCAATATATTATATTAAGTTATATCAAAATTGTTTGAGCTGTTTTCGAGGAAAATGTGTAAAATCAATGATATAAAGTTGGAATTCTGGTAAATTCATTTCAGCTGTAATATCCCAAGCATATGCCTAACTTAAATACATATATAATTTCAGTGACTATTTTTTATCCAGCTATGCTGTTCACACACTCATACATACACAAACACGGACACTTAGACCTTTATTTTAGTCTCCTTATTTGGATCGAGGGGACCTTGATATATGTATTTCTGTTAAAAAATAGAGTTGAGAATTAAAAACTTTTCATCGAGATTTTTCCTGTTAATGAATTACTTATTGTTTAGATTTTTCTTTTATTAGAACATCTGGCCAAACTTCAGCGAATACTAATTCTTCACGATCACATGCAGTGTTTCAAATAACACTTAGAGTTCCTGGTTCTCATTACATTCATGGCAAATTTTCGTTGATAGACTTAGCTGGAAATGAAAGAGGAGCTGATACGTCATCCGCAGATCGACTAACTAGTAAGTTTATTTTAATGTTAATACCACTAGTTAGTTGTTTCCTGAAGTAATGGGTTACAGTTGCATATTTTTTAATTTTTTTTTTTTTTTTGGGTATATATATTCATTACTTGTACTTTTTAAAATTATTTTTATTTCATTTTTTTAAATTTATTAATACTAGGGGAGTAAACCCTGTCCGCCTAACAGCGGACCAACTCCCATTTTATAAATTATATAAATGAAAAAAGTGTATAAAAAGACAGAAATTGTTAAAGAAGAAAATAGTTGAATACTTCACCCTGAAGTGTTAGAAAAAATTATTAAGGCGCAGTATCGGAAAATCACATGGTGGTGGTGTTCTGCTGACATTCCACCTTATATGTAAAATAAAATATCGGTCACTAAAAGCTTTTTTATATAGTAGGGAGATTATAATTTACTTTATTGTGATTTACTATTATTTCAACAGAAACATTTTACACCCCACATTTTATTGCCTTTAATATTATTTTTAAGAGATTTGTCCCAAAATGATTAATATAGTTGTATGTATAAATTTAATTTTAATTAGTTGTTTGTTTGAATAAAATAATACCTTTCGTTTTTGAACGTATTTTGTTGGCTCTAGTTTTTGTTTTTGGGTTTGCTATTAATTTAAATTTCATTTTTAGGAATGGAAGGAGCAGAAATTAATAAATCACTTCTAGCTCTGAAAGAATGTATTAGAGCCCTTGGGCGAAAGGGAGCTCATTTACCATTTCGAGCCAGTAAATTAACACAAGTTTTAAGAGATTCCTTTATTGGAGATAATACTAAGACTTGCATGGTTTGTATTTTTTTTTATATATTAAATCATTATTATCATAAACTTTATCATAAACAAAAAATTATCATAAAGAAACCAGATGTTATTATTTTTTTCCCAGAGATTGAAAATTTTATGAAACTTCTTCATTTTAACAGTTTCTATGAAACCTTTTAGGAAAAAAAGTTCTTAGGAATTGTTTCTGTATAAAGTTCTATATCTATGGTAAAAGTTTAACTTTTATTTATTAAAGTTCTTAATTAAATTATATTAAATGAGAAATAAACAGTAATTTGGCTTCAATTAGGGCTGTAATTTATCTTAAACAGATTATTTGTTTCTAATGTGTTGTTTGTTTGAGTGCTAAGAATTAAAATAATTTTTTAAATCAACTTTGTGCCGTAATTAACAGAATTTTTAAATAAACTGTTTTTAAAAATAAAATTTCTGTAAAACCTTTACTTGAAAAGTTGCAAGGAGAAAAGTTTTATTTCTGAAATAACAGAAAAAAAAATTAAAAATAAAGATTCCAATCATAGCAAAACAGATTAAAATTTCTTTTCAAGTCCTGGTTTTTTCATAACTTCAGAATGATATTCATAGATTTATATTTTCTACCATATATTATTGCTTAATACTATTCACTAAGAAAATATATTTTTTATTTTCTCTTTTCCTCACCTTACTCCTGTTTCATTTTTTTCTTAAATTTATGTCTTAATATATTTTTCCTTAAAGTTATGTCAGTTTATGATTACCACATCTTATTATTTGCTGTTTTACTATAAATTCTTTTGGTCCATATTTCTATATTTTTATTTTATTACTATTTTTAGGCATTTTGTTACTTCTTTCAAACCTTATTTTTTTTATACATTTTTTATAATTTATGTGTACAACTTTTCATATATAATAGTAATTTTTATATTTTCTTTAGTGTTCTTGTATACTTTTGTTGTTTTCTTATTACTTTCCTACTTATACTAGGCAAGGAAAGTATTGCGATCGGGTTCAAATTTCCGATTTGTGGTTTTCAACGGTTCTATACGTTTCAGAGTCCCCTAAGTCCGAAAAACACATTTTTAGCCATTGGTCTGTCTGTCTGTGTCAAGATTTTCTTGGGAACTAGTGAACCGATTTTGTTGCTTTTTTTTTATTTTGTATGGTTTCGACTACTGATGCCTGTGACACAAACTGGGTGCTCCATGCGCTATAGCTGCTGCCCAATAAATGAAAAACATGTTTTTTATAGACTAGCGGGAAAATGGCTCTAATGATTTTGATTAAACTTTCCTGTAATGTTCTAATAATTATCCTTTCAATTTTTGTACATGGACTAAATTCCCCAAAAAAAAGTTATAAAGGAAAGAAAAATGTTTTGGAGCCTAATTCGCTAAGTATATATTCTATGGTAAAATTTATAATAAAACTTTTGAAAGGTAATTAAATTACCAACAAAAAAATCATCTAAATCGAAGCAGTATTAGCGATGATACTTCTATTTTCTACATATGTTTTAATTTATTACTTTTCTCCCTATACTAGGTAAGGAAAGTATTGCGATCGGGTCAAATTTTGGATATGCGGTTTTCGAAGGTTCTACACGTTTCAAAGCCCCCTGAGTCCGAAAAACACATTTTCAGCCATTGGTCTGTCTGTCTATCTGTGTCAAGATTTTCTCGGGAACTAGTGAACCATTTAGCCTGTTTTTTTAAAGGTAATGAAATTCCCTACAAAACTATATAAAAATCGTTCATTTCGGACAACTATTAACGAAGTTACAGCTATTCAATTTCCAGTGTATGATTACGCCTACATATCCTGATGTCAGAAAGGGATGAGTGAGAGAAAAAAGATAACTAAGTGAATGTAAGAAAATCTGTTGCCCGCATCACATAAGCTTCACTATTTCCTCTACTTTTAACAGAAATTATTGTTTGACAAAATTAGGCTATGTCAAAAAGTTTTGATCAGCAATATTAGAGGGTATTGAAATTTTTACACTGATCTACCTTAAGCCGGTTTACATTGCTTTAGTTTATGAAATAAATCGTACTCAAATCTCTCTTTGAGCAATTTTAAGGAAAATAAATCTAATTCAATTTTTTTTTTTTTTCTTGATGGACATATGTAATGATATAAAAACTTTTCTGAAATAGGTAGGAAAATCATGTGAGTGGACAAACCAGATTTTTTCCCTTAAAACCAATAAAGACTTACAGCTTGAACCACAACATTGACGCACTTTAAAAATAAGTTAAATCTTATCTGTGTATTTATTTTTTTTTTACCTCACTACCTCAACCAACTTTTCCATTTTTATTAGCCAGTGTTTTAGTGATAAATCAATGCTATTTTGTATATTAGTTAATCTAAAATGTGTTTACTTAACTATAAACTTGCTAGTCCTCCACTCCTTCTCATGTTTTCTTACATAATTTACAACAATATTACCACCCTATATTTTGTAGGGACTGTGAGGGAATTGTAATTTTATTGTAAATCTAAGATTTTAGCTTTCTTAGTAGTCTTTTGTTGATAAACACTTTTTATTCATTGTTTAATTAACTGTTGAATCAAGAAATGATATATTTTAAGAGTTGCCATTCACTTGTTATTGACTCCAACTAAATTCATGGATGCAATTTCTAATTTGGAAATTAAACAGATTCACTTGACTTTCGTCATTCAGAGTTTTGGGTGCCTTGAATCTAAATAGGTTGTCTTTTCTTCTTTTATGAAAAGAAGTTTTAGTGTTTCCTATTTAATCTTGTCTTCATTTCAAAATGCAGATGCCATATTAAAATTCAGCTTCCATGTTCAAATTCATCTTCAAAAACCAAAATTCTTGAGCTGTAAGTTTCAAGTGATGCTGTAAATTTTGGGTAACATTTGCATCTACCATTTTTAATATTTAAATGTGTAATATCTCAAAAATCTCTTAGCAATAATTTTCAATTAAGTTATTTGATTGACAGTTGCTATATCTAATTTGCCGTTTGGAGTCTGACTCCAAATTTCTTAACAGCTATCCAATCTTTTCCATACTCATCAGCATGAAAATTAAAAGAAAACACTGACCAACCTTACAATTTATTATTTGTCTTTTTCTCGATTATTTTCAATTATTTATGCATTGTATTAGTCTAGTCAACATTGAACTGTGAAAACACCTGATTATACAGAAATTTTAATTTTTAATCATACATACATTTTATCCTATATATGTTAGGTTAAATAACTTTATTTGTATTTCCTTTCTCATTTTAAATTTTTAATGACTATAAATCTATTTATAACATTATAATATAAATTTTTCAAATTTATTTGTGGGTTTTTTCTTGACATATAGTGAGTACTCTGAAGCTTATGTAGACTATTTGTTTTGAGTCCTGTTTTACTGTCCATAACTAGTTCTACAGCCTTAGAAACTATATATCAATCCTGGATATATTAATTTACAAAGCTTAGGGTACATAATGCAGTCATTGCCACTGTCCATATATCGTGAGCATCTTAGGTCAGTATCAGTGCTGATTCCATTCTCATTTATAGGGATTAATTCCTCCTTATCCCATGACTAATATCCTTTTAACCTGCCACATCAACGCTCAGTCACTCCTTGCTCATTTTAATGAATTTTATGATTTTTTCCTCAAAACTTCTACCATTTAATTGCAGTTTCTGAAACCTGGTTAAAGCCCTCTATTCCATCTTCCCAAATTACTTTACCCAATTTTACCCTCCTTCGTCATGACAGAGTGGATCGTACAGGTGGTGGTGTAGGTCTCTATGTCCATGAAAGCCTTAAATTCAAAATCCTCCATTGCTCTTCCCATACCGATTCTCCACAATTAGAATATCTTTTTACTGAAATCTTCACCTCATCATCCCCCCTTCTCTTTACAGTCATTTATCGCCCTCTCAGAATTCCCTTTGATGAATTATTTGAGACTTCAATTCTATTGTAATGATACCATCCTCTGACCATTCCTACCTGAACAGCCTCCTCCAATCCCTCAGCCTTTGTATAGTTTCCTACAACGCTACCCATCATATCCAGTTCGCAGAGTCCGGGCTTGATTTGTTAATCTTGGATTTCCTGGATAAACTCTTCGCAGCATCTCAGCACACCGTTCCGTTTCTGTCTTCCCATGATCTTATCCAGATTTCCTACTACATCCCGGTCCCATTTTTTTCTCCTCGAACCATATCCTTCCGATACCTCAATTCCATCACCTATGAAGCCCTGTCGCAAGATCTCGACTCTACCTAGTGGGACCCCATTTATTCATTAAAATCCATTGACGCCATAGTAGAAATACTTACCAACCACCTTCATCCCATCCTCGCCTGCCATGCTCCTCTCCTAACTAACACCATCTGATATCTCCCTGCTCCTCGGCTGACACCCACTCTGAGAGAGTGCATGAGAAGAAGAAATGCTGCAAGATGGCGGTTTAAACGTACCCAACTCCCGGATTCATTGCAAAATGCTACCTACCCTACATCCTGGAAAACCGCACTAGTTTGCTTTATAAATAGAACTTCCAACCCATCAACTCTTGATGATTTCTGTCCAATTTCTCTCCCCTCAAACTTTTTCAGTGACTAGTTCAAACCCAGTTATCCGACTTTTTAGAATTGAATAACCTCCTAAATAGCAAACCAGTCCGGTTTCCGGCCTGGCTACTCCACTCAGTCTGCCCTCATCAAAATTTCCCAAGACCTTCATATAACCGTGGACCAGCAGAAATTCACCATCCTTATTCTTCTAACATTCTAAATAAACTCTTTTGTTATATTTTATATCTCTTTATTTATTTTACATGCTTTCTGGATTTTTATTTTTGAGAACAATGTTTGGGTAACCTGTGGTGCAGCCCAGCGTGCGGTTGCACGACTTAGGAAGGGACTGCACCTTCTCTTCCTCTACGGCCTCTGGTGGGCGTCCTCTCCCAAGGGTGAAATGCACCGTTCCCAGTGCATTTCACCCTTCCATGCCTCTTCCATTGCATATAGTCCTGTTGCCTCAATTGCATTCACCCTTAAGACACACACACGACCGCTTGTCCGGGCATCTCCATCTCCCTGAGGATATTTTCTATCCTCATCCTGGCTCCTATCACATCTCCCATCACGCTCTCTGCGTTCAGGGAAGAGGCTTTTCCATTTCCTGCCAGGTGTAGAGCCTCGGAGATGTCCTCCGCCTGCGGTCTCTTTGTCTCGGAGGCATCCTCCGGCATCGAAGGGGAAGGCATCCTCTTGGCCCCCTTAGGCCCCTGATTCCCTTCCATTCCAGTTGTTTCACCCCAAAGACCCATCATCGTCTTGTATGCCGCCGTCCCCTCTTTGTATCCGACCGACTCCCCAGATCCCAGGGTTGGTGCATCACTCAAGATGACGTCACTCTTTCCCAGCGGCGAAGCCTTTTTTTTAGCAAACAAATACCCATCCAATTTCTTTTGCAAATTGGATTGTGAGGGTGATGTATTTTCGCCCATCATTTATCAAATTTATTATTAAGTTTATTATTAAATGTTTATCCCACCTACCTCTATGGTGGCCACGTGCTTTACTAAGCTAGCACCTCGTGGTCCCAGCAGTGCTCCTCCTTAATCCATTTTTTTCGGTTTAATCCAAGAATGTATCACACTAGTATTATAAACCTGGCTTTACCAAATACCACCACTTTATTTCCACCGCTTTCCGGCACTATACCACTTGTTCTCTCCCGATTTCCTCTCTTGTGTTCCCCCATTTCGACTATGGCTGCCTGGTGTACGACGGACTCTCTCGAGAATTCAAGGCCAAACTTAAACGCCTAATGAATTATGCAATATTTTTTGTTTTCGGAATCTCAAGAGATATGCATATAACCCAGTATTACCCAAGTTGAAGTGGCTCTATTCATCCAACCGCCGTCTGTACTTCCTTGTTACCTTTTTATACCAAGCCATCAGAACTCAGCGACCTTCGTATATTTTTGCACAGCCTACAATTTAAATATTCCATTCAATCCCGTCCCACTAGATCCCTTACTTCCGACTTCTATCCACCTCCTCATCGAACTGCTGCGTTTGACAAATCCTTTATAATTCAAGCTGTCTCCTTCTGGAATACCATCCCTCCATATATCTGACATGTACAATCAGTTTCCTCATTTAAATCTCTTCTTTTAAAGCACCTACGCCTTTCCCAACCCGATTAATCACGAAATGTAGATAAGAGAATTTTTTAAGTTCCCCAGAAATGATTTTGTTTACTTATGTTATTTTATTATCCCTTGTTTGTTTCATATATATAGCATTTCCAAGTCAATTTCAACCTTTTCTAAGTCAAATTCAACCTTTTCCAAATCAAATTAAACTTTTTCCAAGTCAAATTCAAACATTTCAATTTCAAATTTAACCTTTTCCTATTCAAATTCAACCGTTTTCATTTCAAATTAATGTTTCGAATTTTTGTAAATTTTTAATTTTTTTTATATAATGGTCATCCTCTCCCTTCCCCCTACAATATGAAGGTCTATTATTATCCTCCCCTAAGGAGAGTTTTTCAAAATACTATCGATTTTATGTTGCACTTATGGATATTGATTTATTGTACCTATTCCGATTTATTAGGATCTAGTATTATGCTGTCGTGTGCATAGTTTTTAAAAATGGCCTCCTTTTTATGATTACGCCACAGCGTTTCAACTTATTTAAGATTTTTGGATTTATTCGATATAAGTAGAGAAAAAATTGGAGTATAACGGTATTGTTCACCAGCTGTATATAGATTTTAAAAAGGCTTACGATTCTATTGACCGCCAGAAACTGTATAATATTTTAATCGAGCAGGGGATTCCAAAAAAACTAGTAAATCTAGTCAGGATGTGCTTGACGGAGACACTCAATAAAGTTAGAATTGGTAATAATTTGTCCGAAAAATTTGAGGTTCGTTCGGGCTTTAAACAGGGGGATTCTCTTTCGCCTGTCCTGTTCAATTTGGCATTAGAACATGCCATTAGGGAGGTAATGCGAACCGAGAAAGGGTTGGATCTGGGCGGGACAACATCCATGCTGGGCTATGCTGATGATCTGGTACTGTTAAGCAAAGACATTGAAACTATAAAACTAAATACGACAACGTTAATGAAAGCCGGTAAAGAACTAGGACTCGAAATAAACGTGGATAAAACAAAATATATGGTTAGCTGCAAAAATGGCGATACTACTGGTGATATCGATATAGATGGTAATATGTTTGAACAGGTAGATAAATTTAGGTATCTAGGTTCTACGATAACTAGAAAAAACGAAGTTGAAGAAGAGATTAAGGTTAGACTGAAGGCGGGGAATGCTTGTTATTTTTCTAAGACAAAACTACTTAGTTCGCGCCTCTTGTCCCGAAACTTAAAAATTAGAATCTATAAAACAATTATCTTGCCTACAGTTCTTTATGGATGCGAAACTTGGCCGCTTACATTAAGGGATGAGCAGCGTCTTAAGGTTTTTGAAAATAAAGTATTGCGTAGAATATTCGGACCGAAGAAGGATGAGTTAACCGGAGAGTTCAGACGGTTATACAACGCCGAATTGCGTGAGCTGTATCCGGGTAATATAATTGAGGTAATTTCATCGCGGCGAATCAAATGGGCTTGTAAAGTTGTTGGGCTTAGTAACGAGAGAATTCCTAAAAGGTTTATATTTGCTGCGCCGAATGGTAAACGTCCAAAGGGTAGACCGAAGCGAAGGTGGGAAGATTGCATTAAAGCCGATCTGAAGGGACTGGGTTTGGACGACGAACGGTGGAGGGAGGTGTGTAACAAGCGATTGGTGGTGTCGGCATCGAACCTTCGGGCTCGCTAAGCCTTATTATTATTATTATTCGATATAAGGGTGTATTCTTATGTTTCCGGACCGTAGATTTTGAAAATAGCCTCAACTTTATGATTACGCCACCGCGTTTCGACTTATTTAAGTTTTTTTGGATTTATTCGATATAAGGGTGTATTATTATGTATCCGGAGTCGTAGATTTTGAAAATGACCTCCATTTTAAGATTACGCCACTGGAATTCAACTTTTTAAGCTTTTCGAATTTTTTCCATGTAAGGGTGTATTCTTATGTTTCCGGAGCCGTAGATTTTGAAAATGATCTTCATTTTAAGATTATGCCACAGCGTTTCGACTTATTTATTTTTTTCGAATTTATTTGATATAAAGGTGTATTCTTATATTTCCGGAGTCTTAAGTTTTGAAAATGACTTCCATTTTATGATTACACTACCGCATTCCGACTTATGTAAGTTTTTCTAATTTATGCGATTTAAGGGTATACTTTTATGTTTCCGGAGCCGTAGTTTTTGAAAATGACCTCCATTTTCAAAATATACGGCTCCAGAAACATAAGAATACACCTTTATATCGAATAAATCCAAAAAACTTAAGTAGTCGAAACGCTTTGGCTTAATCATAAAAAGGAGGTCATTTTCAAAAATTAGGCACACGAAAGCCTAAAATACTAGACCCTAATAAATCGGAATAGGTACAATAAATCAATATCCTTAAGTATAATATAAAATATAAAGTATTTTGAAAAACTCTACTTAGGGGAGCATAATAATAGAATTTCATATTGTAGGGGGAAGGAATGCCCCTTATTTAAAAAAAAAAATCAAAAATTCAAAACATTAATTTGAAATGGAAATGGTTGAATTTACTTGGAAAAAGTTTAATTTGATTTGGAAAAGGTTGAATTTGACTTGGAAAAGGTTGAATTTGACTTGGAAAATATTGAATATGACAGGGAAATATACTGAAAAATCTAAAAAGTTAAATGGATATGCAACCGCGTTATCATATTTTTTTTTGTGTTTTTCAAAAGCTATGCCTTCGATAATATAATAAATGGCCTTCATTTAGAAAAAAATCTAAAATTGACAAAAATTTGAAATGGAAAAGGTTGAATTTGACTTGGAAAAGGTTTAATTTGAATTCGAAAAGGTTGAATTTGATTTGGGAAAGGTTGAAATTGATTTGGAAATGCTGCTATATATCTATGTTTTTAGTGGGTTTTTTTTTTTCGTTTTTTTTCCAATATTTTAATTTTAATGAGATTTGTAAATATTTAATGTTGTAATGTATGGCCACATAGGCATTTTTTCTGTATCTATAATTTGTCCTTACGAGACGACAGTCCCAGGATAATAAAAATATATTTCCATTTCATTTCATTACTATGGCAATTTTCTTCTTGTATACATTTATTTGGAAGTTCTAACATTTTGCTCTATCCCTTTGTTTAATTTTCTTTTCTTATGTCTATGTATTTTCTTTTCAATATTTTGTAAGTATACATACATATAATTATATATCATGAAACTAAAAATTTAAAGTAAGCATATTATTTTTCAGCAATATCATTATGTGTAATATCTATGCTTATATTAGTATATAAGCAACTATATACTATCTTGTGGCTATTTAACTGTTTTAATAATCTTAAATTATGTATCTCAATATATAAGCAAGCATATATTGTAGTTTCTTAACTGTAGTGTGTATTTTAGATTGCAATGATAAGCCCTGGAATGAGCTCATGTGAACACTCATTAAATACCTTACGATATGCTGACAGGGTAAAAGAACTAGCAGCTAATGATCCATCTACTTATAGCCAGGAAAATTCGCCTGTTGATGAAAACCATGAAGATAGTGATTTAGCTGCATTACGGTCCTTAAATGTAAGATTTATCTTATTAAATACTATCTTTATAACATTTAATTTCATTATTTTATTCCTGCCATAATTTAGAGTTTTAAGTTTAAAGACCTATGAATATATTTTAAAAAATGAGTATAAAAATACTAGATCTATATAAGCTTTAAATAATAAAGAAGTTTTTTCTAGTTGCCTCCTTATGGAGTATATTGAGCTGCTGCAAAGTCATTCTTAGTTCTTCCTAAATATAGTGTAGTTTACCAAATCTGGTAGTTCTAATAGCTCACCCTATTGCACAGGTTTTGAACTGCCTCTAATTTTGCTATTCAAAGCTCCAAAATTCATTGTAATGATTTAGCAGAGTTTTCAAGTAGCTTGTTTCCAATTTTACATAAAATCCTAAAGACAGATTTCCAAGAAAATGCCAAAATAGATGGATCTGAAAGCTGCTTATGATAGAGAATCTCTGGGAACCTAGATTCTAGGAACCTCTAGTAGATTATTTTTTTTTTTTTTTTGTTAACAGCAATGACTAGCTCAAGGAACTTATGTGATCTGTTTGCTGTTTAATATCATGATAAATAACATTCTGAATTCAATAAGAAGAGTTCCTGGTATCCAAGACGATCTGCTTATTTAGGTAACCAGCAAATCTATCCCTTCACTCAATGTTTGTATAAATGGAACTCTGAAAGTAGAAGTATTATGAGACAACACACAGTGATATTAACTGCATCAAAATGTACCATGTAACTAATGCTTTCACTCTTCCTCTCTGCTAACAAAAATACCACAGATTGATCTTTAGTACTGGAATAGGTTGGTACTGGAAGAAAGCTATAAATCAGATACTTAAGAGTTCAGCTAAATAGATTTTTAGTTAAAATTCTGACAAAGGTATAATTAAAGGCACTGCTAAGTCCACTCCTTACACAGCCATGGAGCCTAAGACTTTCATTGAACAATCTACTGAAAAGGTAGCATTTAAATTTTGGTGAGTTTATACTTAACCACTATTGAACTTACTACTTGCAAGACTGAAAATGCAAACAGTGTCACTCAATGCATATGAAAAATGTATAAGAAAATATTATACTGTGCTCCAGCACAACTGCCCAGGCTTCATCCACTTATCTTGAGCCCACAGCAACCTCAAGAACCACGCAATGCCAAAATATATTTGCATACATCATGAATTGAAAAAGACCACAGACTATTCACTAAGAATCAATTGAAGATGATTGGATTCACATCTACACTGATTTGTCTTCAATCTGGACAGTAGAGAAACAGGGACTGTGTAGTATGAGATGGGCAAATGGTACTGTGAGTACAAGTACCAAGTGTTTTATTCAAATGCTAATCTTTTTCAAGTACCAAAGAATTTAATTACTACTTTAGTTGGTGTCAAACAATTAAATCAAATAGTGATTGAATTTCCAATACTGATTCAATTTCAGTAAAATACTTGGTACTTGGAACTCAGAGTAGCATTCGCCCATCTCTGCCGTGTACTATAAGTTTATTTTTCAAGGTCTTTTTCTTTTTCTTTTTCTTCCTTGCCTTGCCTTTTCAGCAATATGGGGCTTTTCCATGCCAGTGGATTAATGCCGGAGTTAAAAACCCTCAGTGCCGGGACTCAAAGTCGTAATCTTCAGTTTCGCATGTTGCCAGGCAACATGTGTTTTTTAAACATGTTAGCCTGCTTGGCCACCCCACCCCCTGAATTTCCGACATTTTCCTGAAAAAGACATTTAACTGTAGGTGCTCCCCTTAGCAATTATGATGGTAAAGTGGAATGAGTTCATGCCCTTGCAGCTAAAATTGAAAGAACTGTTTCCCTTTAAGTAAATTAATAAGATAAAGGAAGGAAAAAGAACATTCCCCTTTATTTTGTAATCTAAACTCTAGTTTTAGTTCCCTATGACATTTCATAAGGTATTTATATATTTTTATCAGAAGGAATATATTATTGGATCAGTTATATAAGTATATTTAATTAAAAGTATTAAATTTTTATCAATAAATTTAAAGTGCTCTTTTTTTCCCCCATTAAATGTTTGACCATTTTGGTTTGTCTCACATCCTTAAGTAAAATAACCTTATAGTCATCCTAATACTTTCTTAAATATTATTTTATCAAAGATAAATCAATTCTAAATGTTTGTTTATAGGTCATAATTTTTTTTTTTTTTTTATTTTCCAAATATAATGAAGAAAAACAACTTGTTTTAATAAAATTAATTTTTTCTTTAGTCTTAATTTATCTTTATTTTTTACTTAGGAAAATGAAATATCTGCAGATCTATATGACTTTCATGAAGCCGTTTCACAACTCAATAAGTTAGAAGAAGAAATGTTAGACAATTTCAAGACTTGGAGAGATAGTTGTATTAAACTGGATTCACAAGAAAAAGCGTTGGTAGCTGCCACTAATGATGTGGACTATGACCAAGACGGTGAGGAAAATTTTAGTTATCGGTTTATATTATTTGTGTGTTTACTACCATTATTGTATAGTACCTTATTTGTTTTAGTTTATGACTGATCATATTGTAATTTTATCCAACAATTTGTTTTAATGATCTATTTTTATATAAATATATGCATAGGTTTAGCAGATTTTATTATTTTTTTATTTGTTATGAAATAATTTTTGTTATAACTTTTTGGAGATTTCACTTGAGTCAATCTATTCAGTACTAATTTTGTGAAAAATTCCACTCATTTCTAAGAACCATTGTTTTATTATCTTATACATATTTAATCTATTTTTTTTTTTTAATAAATGTTTTTCCTCATCCATCAGTACATAGTCGTTTTATTTTGTTATTACATCCTTCTTTTTTTTTTCTAAATGATAATTTTCAGTTTTGGTGTAGAAATTTACAAATTTTTTTTTTAGTGTTTTTTACTGCAAATGAATTTAAAGAACTTGACTGTAAAGGACTCATACATTTATATACAGACATTTGTTTATTATTATTTTTGATTTTAAAGTAACCCCTTCAAGGTAAAATTAATTGGTTGGTACATTCCATAAATATCACACTGTTAGAGAATGCAAGGGGTGTAACTAAATTATTGTCATCAAAAATTTGAATAGTTCTACCTCTATCATCCCATAGTGTAGTCAGCTCTCAGGTATCAGGTCAAACTGATAGATAAAATAGGTGATTTATCAGCAGTATGTATACGGTCAGAAACTGGATTCTGCGTATACGTGAAAATTAACAAAATAAAATAAACAAAAGGAAAAATGTTAAAATTGAATGTAAAAAAATTTTTAACATTCACAAAATATATTTAATAATAACTACATGTTTCTATGGAAAATAAAAATTGTAGCTAGCAATAATAAATTGTATCCATTAGAAAAGCATTAACATAAATAGTAACAAATCAAAGAAGGAGTAATGAAAAAATCAATAAAAAAGTCAGTATTTTATTGCTTTTCCCTTAACTAAAATTACACTAGTAAGTATTCCAGGCATAGAATAGAATCTTTTTTTATGATGCCTGGAGCTATTCTATTCTATTTCGCCACTATTCATTTTTCATCTCTTACATTTTTATTCTGAATTGAATAATTTTGAAATATTCTATTTTATGTCACTATATAAATACTAGGTTTTGCTTTAAATCAGGGGCCGGGAGGGATATGAAAGTTTCAGTGTGCATTATAGAGCAACCATTCTTGTAGAACTTTGTATATTTTTGGTAGTTAAAAAAAAAAAAGTCTGGAGCTAAGTTTATGTTGTTGCAACAATCTTCACACTTATTGGGAGCACATTAATTCGCTTGTAAAAGCGACATGTTGAGCAAAGCATCAGCTGTTTTTTGTAGGTTGCACCTACTTTATTTTTATAAATTCTTTCAACGATGTATGATCTATTTCTACTTGGTTTATTTAATAAACTTTTAATTAAATTTTAATATTTTATTTATGTCTGATTATTAGAAGATATTCTTTTCTGTAATTTTCCAATTGCAGGAATAAAAATTGCTTTGTCAAAAAATTGAATATCTCTCCTTTATTTCTATAGAGATTTCCATATAATATAGAGATTTCTTTCCATTTCAAACTCATTTTATAAGAAAAATCAATTCAAATCAAGAAATGACTTTGTAAACAAGTATATTTGTTTTAAATCTTTAACTTCCACTCATATTAACAATATGAATAAGACTGAAGTAATTTTGACACAACAGTAATCCTTATTTCATTTTAAGTTTACAACTGGGTTTTAAACTTAAAAATAGTTTCATTATAACAGTTTAGATGGAATTTTTGTTATGAACTTCTAACATAAAGTGAACTTTTATTTATTTATATCCTTAACCGAAAAATATGTTTAATGATAAATAAACAATAATTGGGCTTAGATATAATAATTTCCAGAGAATAATATAAAGATAATGTAATAATTCTCCAAGCAGATTTAAAAATAAATCATTATGGAAATCAATCATGATATAACATTATTGATGAGAATCGGAAGGATGCCTCAGCGATTGATTTTAGAATTTATGACATAACTATTTAAAAGGTAAATAGAAATCTTCGAATTTCTAAAAGCCCACTAAGACTTAAATGAAATAATAATAAATAAGATCAAGAAGACATATAACTCAGCTGAAAAAATGTTCAATACTGTACTTAAAAACTTTCTGAATTAAAGGATAGTCACCAAGGTTACAAAATCAAATGTCTAAAAATCCATATTTTTCTATTTTCCTAATATTAATCTATTTCTCAGAATCCTGATAAACATCTAAGAGGCTTATAATTAGTACACAAGCTTCATAAAGGATATCCCTCAGGAAAATAGAAGGAAAACAAAAAATACCACGCTTGTAATACCAATATTTGAAAAAACCTCTGTGTTAAACCCAGAGGAAATATTATTGAACAAAACTTTTTCAGCTTTGGATAGGATTTAAGGTTGATGGGAGACACCAATATATCAGGAAAGAAATAATAAGAATTCTTAAAAAAAAAAAAATAGATTGAAACAGAAAAAAAAATAGCTAATTTTCATGGTGCTTGGTCAAGGATGTTAAAAAAAGTATCTTCATTGCATGAGTGTTTGAAAAGAAGTGGTTATGCTGATGATAATATTTGATTACAAGACACTTTACTGTTTATGAAAGATATCTATTGCGATATGCAGAGCAGGCCTTAGATATTCGGCGCCCCCGGGCAATGGCGTCATCTCTCTCCCTCTAAAAAAAATTAAATTTATTTCTTAAGCTGTTTTATACTATGTGATATTTGAATTTGATTTCATACAATATTTCTCTAATATTATTATCTTTATTGATAGGTTAAAATTAATTGTTTTAAGACGTTTTGTAATATTTTTTAATTTCTAACAAGTGGCGAGCGCCCCCTGAAGATCGGCTGTTGCCCCCAAAGGACGCCCCTTGAGGTCAGTGCCCTGGGGCGATTGCCCCGCCCTAAGGCCGGCACTGTTGATATATTGCTACTGTTATTGCAAAAGGTTGTATGTAAAAATTAAGTTTTTTACAGAAGAGTATTCAAAACTGATTATTTCTTTATGATTGATTAGTATAGTTTTATATTTTATTTCCCTCAACTATTTTCCATTTTAGCAGACTACTTATAGCAGTTGCAGACTACAAAACATCACCTTAGAATATGTAAAAAAAAAAAAAAACGCATAAATAAAATATGTAATATCGTTGGTTTATTACAAATAGTCACTGAGTACATGTTTGATGGAGCTGAACTTTTAAAAATGTTTTTGTGAATTTTGACATTTTTGTTATTTATAAAAAAGCCTAGTAAGTGCAATAAAATTTTCTGATTCTAAAATGGATAAATACATTCTTACAAAAATATCAGTTAATGACTTTTGCAATTAACCGACATTATATTCTTCACAGTTAATGCATAGTTTTTGTTATTACATAACATCCATAGAACATGAACTACATTATAATTGAAGAAAACTGATGAAGTCTTATAATAGCTATAATTATAAAAAAAACAGTTGTGATGGTACACACAAAAACATATCACTTCTTGATGTAGTTTGATAAATAATACAATGTAAGCAGCTTTAGTTGAGTATATGTAAGAAATCATTGTTTCTCATTTTACTTTGATATATGACTAATAATTGAATTGCGGTAGATCCATATAAATTGTTGTTTGAATTTATTTATTTTTGTAATATTTAAATAGTTTATTAAATCTTGCATTAGATTAGCAGTACTAAATTCCTAAGGACATGGTCGACTATACAGTTTTGTTTATACAAGGAATGATATTTTATGTAGTATGATATTTATATTTTAAGAATGACATTTTAGTAGTCTGTCTATGTTATCATTTCCTATAAACTTAATAGTATTCTACTTTCTATGTTAAAACACTTATTATGTTGGACCCATTGACTGTCATTAATGAATTTTCTACCGAAATGTTTAATTTTCTGACATCCCGAATATTGTTTATTCTTAACAAGTTTTTAAGAATTAGAACTTATCCTGTCATTTGAATTATTTAGTTCAGTTGCTATCTATCTCTGCCATCTCTTTAGTTTCCTCAAACATTAAATTGAAAGTGGGTTTGGTATTTTTCTTCTTTGATGGTGAATAATGAATGAATGGATAAATACTAAGAGATGAGTAATGTATTTGATATATGTAATGATATATATGTATATGTAAAGAAGTATATATATATTCAATCATATAGTAACGTTTAATTTGTGTTTCTCCCTTTTTGTGTTTTCACGCTTTTACACGCACACACACACACACAAATATATATATATATATATATATATATATATATATATATAAAGTGCAAAAGCTCACATAGAAATCTGCTTTGGTGTTGATTTCATGTTAGGTGAAGTATATTTACCATTTTTCTTTCTGTTTCAGCATTCGCTACAAAATTAGATTTGGTTCTTAATGAAAGACAGAAGGTTTTATCAACTTTACGTGAAAAGGTAGCTGCTTTCCGACAACAATTGATTGCTGAGGAGGAGATTTCAAAGAAAATGACACCCCCTCAACATCGAACTGTTCATTAACCTTTATTGTTGAAAAAAAATAAACAGAGATAAATAAAAAAATCGTTTAAATTTAATTTTTTCTACATACTTAATTTTTTTTATTTATGAAATAAAGTTAGTCATTGAATATTTTTATAAAATATGCATAAAAAGAAAATTAAATGAATGTTAATCTAGTGCCGTTTAATGGTATAAATATACTAGTGATATAAATTCCTTAATAACTGTAAATAATCATTTCAGAAAATATACTAGCAATATTTTTTTATGTTTATTTTGATTTTTATAAGTGGTATTCAATATTCTCAAGCATGACATGTATTTAGAAAGAACTTCTAAATTTATATTCCAATTTGATATTGTTTTATTTTTTTTCTTTATCGGTTATGTAATTTTATCAAAAGTTAAATGAAAATACATTAGATCATTGATTATCTGAACTAATGCGCTCATTATATAAATTGATATTGGCTCAGATAATCCAAAATTATTATATTAGATAGAAATTCTTAATCTAAATATCTTTCAAACTGTAAATCATTAGGCAGCGGTTTCCCTCAAGTTCATGAAATAATTAATTTTGGATAATTGATGCTTTATCACATGAAAATTATTAGTTAAGCAATTAAATATTTTGCCATGATTTATTTTTTGCACTAGGTATTGTATAAATTTTATATTTTTTAAATTGATCCTTATTCACTTATTTTTTTTGAAATTTCAAGAAAGTATACTAGTTGTTTGTATAAGACTAAGATAATAAAAACATTCGAGTGATGAAATATTTTAATTTTATAATAATATTTAATTTATTGGAGAATTGTGTAATTTTCTAGGATCGTTTTTTGCCCTAATGAGATTTCATAACATACATGGTAAAGAAAATATATATGCAGACTATTTAAATATGTATTAAATGTATTAGAATGATTCTTCAACCTTTATTTTATTAATAAATTATTATGACCATATCTTATTATAATTAATTACTTACTAAAAATGAAATTGTTATAAATTTTCAAGAAAATTATTTGTAATTGTTTTCTACTTATTTAAATAATTACAATGATAATAGAAGGAAGGGCTCAGGAATCCAAAGGTTAGACACCAAGCCAACAATTTTGCCTACAAACCTCTCTCCACTGAATCCCAACAATACCCATGTCTGCAAGGTCAGTCTTACCACAGACCTCCCACCTACGTATCAGGCATTTATCTGTTGGTTTAGGCAATGAATTGTCTGTTTGAAGTTAATTTATTGTGTTGTTTTAGAAAAAAAATGATAATAGGTTTTCAATTTAATGTTACTTCTATTGTTACCTGTAAATTTGAATAGAAGGACACATTACCTATAACGGTCCTAAAAGACATATCAAATCTTTGGTTGTTATGTGATGCAGTGGTTTGCTCAATTCTGACTGGAGATATTGTTTAGTAATATTGATTTTTTAAATATGTTTGCCATATTTATTCTTTGTTTTTATTTTTTCTAATTTATTAAATGAAATAAATGAATATCCAAGAGAATTGTGTATTACATCATAGAATGATAAATTACCTAATATCTTAATGAAATTTTCTAGTTTAACTATGCTATTTTATATTAAAAATATAAACAATTATTGTCATTGTTATATTAGTAACACTCATTGATATTTCTGATTTTATGTGGGCAATAATGTGACATTGCAATTATATTTATAATATACTATAAAATATTGTTGTTTTAACTTATTAATAAATTTATCATCATTGTTTAACAGTTTAATTAATTACAACATGGTGGTGCTTATATTTATTTTCTGATCAGTAATGTTACCTTATTGTAATAATAGGATCTTTATGTATATATATATATATATATATATATATATATATATATATATATAATCACAACGTATATATGTGTGTGTGTGTGTATATATGTATATGTATATATATATATATATATATATATATATATATATATATATATATATATATATATATTTATATTCACATATACATTTTACTGTAAAACAAACTTAAAAAAAAAAATCCTAAGAATTAACTGGTATGTATGTATATCATGAGAATGATTCTGTAATTCTTCTGCATATATAATTTCATAACCATTGAAATGTAGATAACATCAAACTTCATGAAATTTTAACAAATATCCCTTGGCATGAGGGTGTTACTAATTTCTCTGTTTATTAATTTTTACTTGTTTAAAAAACAGTATAATGAAATATAAGCTTTAAATAAATTTGTTGATGTTAATATACTTTTTTATTTAATTATATATTTTTTAAAAAAATCAATCCCTATGCTTTCTGTAATTTTTAAATGGAGTAATTCCTAAAGAATCTGAATCCTTGAATCCTAAAAAAAATAAGTATTGCCATTGTACCAAAAATGAGTTGTTGCTGTTCTGTTAAAATATTTAAGGTGCATTTAGTAAAGGTTACTTACTGCCATTGGGTGCAGGTACAATGGAGTCCCATTAAAATTATATAATAACTGCATACATATTCCTAAGTGATTACATGTGATATTGTTTATTTTATATGGCTTGTCTAAATGTTGAAAAATAAATTCTGAAACAAACTGGCCAAGTCTTACTTTCATAGAAAACCTAAAGCACCAGTGTTACACAGTTGCTAGAGGTCTTAAGAAATAGTCATAGCTATGAGAATGCAAATGAAAATTATGTGTATGAGTGGCTACAAACCAACAATCATGTGATTTTAGAATGAGAGTGATTAGGACTTGACTCCGAGGAACTGGCCGACGATGACATCCCTCCCAACAAAGAGGAAATAATGGAATTGTGCAGAGTCTGAAGAATTATAAAGCGCCAGGCATAGACGGAATCCAGCCTGAACTTTTTAAATATGGTGGAGATGAAGTTTGGGATGAGCTCCATAAACTTATATATGATATATGGATGGAAGAAGAGGTCCCAGATGAGTGGAAAGTGTCGGTCCTATGCCCAATCTATAAGAAGGGAGACAAGCTAGATTGCAGGAACTATTGAGGCATAGCACTGCTTGGCATAGCTTATAAAGTGCTATCCTCTGCTATTGGTAGGAGACTGATATCACACATGGAGAAAGAAGTAGGGGAATATCAGTTTGGCTTCAGGAAGGGTAGATCGACTATTGACCAGATCTTTACAGCACGACAGGTAAAGATGACTGCAGACAACGATGTAGGAGCTGAGATAGGAGCCAGGATTACTGCGGGAAGCCGATGTTTTTATGCCATACAGCGATTACTCACGTTTTGAAGACTATCAAGGAATGCCAGATTGACAATTTATAAAACATTGATTCGTCCGGTTATCACATACGGAAGTGAGGCGTGGGTTATCTCAGCAAAACATGAGAGGGCTCTTGGAGTGTGAGAGCGTAAGATTCTTAGGAGGATTTACGGGCCCGTATGCGAAGAAGGTGTTTGATGGTCACGATACAATCGGGATTTGCGACAACTCTACAGGGACGCAGATCTCGTAAGTGTCATTAAGGCAGGACGAATAAGATGGTTAGGGCATGTGGAAAGAATGGCAGCGCACCGAGTACCGAGGAAAATACTGTATGGGCGACCTGGAGGAGCAAGAAGAAGAGGAAGGCCACCACTCTGTTGGCTGGAGGATGTTGAGGCGGATTTGAGACAGCTTGGTGTCAGGCGGTGGAGGGCTGTCGCATTGGACCGAGACGAGAGGCGACGTATTGTTGAGAAGGCCAAGATCCCACAAGCGCCGAGGAGTAATAGTGATGAAGCAGATAGTGACAGTGAGTATAGATACTCAGATGTTGGGACTGCATTTGATTTTGTGTTGTGCCAATAGAACAATACCTTATTGCGAAAATAATAGGTTTTTTTTTTTCTGAAGCACTAGCGTGAATTTCATTTCTTTTCAAAAAAAAAAAAATTGACTAATTCCTTTAAACCAACGTAGATAGTAATTACTTTAGTTCATTGTTTAAAGAGGAATAATAAGTAATTGACTTTATATTACTTGTTATCATTGTCGAGGTGAGACAGAGCATAGTTCAATTTAGGGGTAAGATGACTTAGTGAATGAAGGAGATGAGTAAACATAATGTCCTCAAGTGTCGGGCAGATCAGCACCCAAATCTCTCTTTGTCTGCATTATAAGTGATCAATATCCTGCCTTAGTATATAGGAGTACAAGCAGATGGACCAGCTTCCAAAGCTTGTATGGAGAGAGAGAATAGATTAAAGTTTATGGGAATATAATATTAGAAAAACGCAACGAGATGGCACCACAGATCAAGAACTAAAATACGTAATGCTTTTGAAAAGTCTTATTTCTGTCTGCTTTCTACTTTTTAATTCATTCCTTTTAATGTTTATTTCAATCATCATACACGACTAGCGGCATGACTTTTTAATCTCAGTTCCATTTGCTGTTAGATAAATTACCAGCTGACTAGAGGTTTATCGGTCGTAAACGGAAGAGCAAAAGTATATTAAAGAACAATAAATATAACCCCTAAGCATGAGACAATATACTACTGGCCGAGTTAAAAGGATGTAAAGGGAGAGAATCTGATATAATTTTGCCCCGGGCGCCAAAAACTGACCCGACTGACTTTTCATCGTTTAGGGATTTCTCATTGATGATTGCCTAAATGTAATGGGTCATTTAAAATTAAGTTTTACTCAGTTAATAGTAATACTAAATATTTTATCAGCTTCTGAGAAGTTTTTTTTTTAATTATTACACATAAATGGTAACTAAAAATTTGTTTTGGAGAAGATCAATCATCCTGATACTGAAAACTGTAAAAAATAAGTTACTGCCTTTTAGCTACTGGTCCACAGGGGTGCCCATCTCCCCCAAGGTCGATGGCGCAAGAACCTACTCTAGCCTCCTCCCAAGATATTTTATTGCTCACCTTTAGTAAAAAAGAGAGCAAGCTAAGTTAGAATTATCATATATAATCAGATTATATAAAAATACACTTGCTGCGGTCAGTTCCATGTGTTACCCTTGTCCATTGGTCCGAAAATTATTAACCCTGTCAAAATTTGCCTACTTCAAAAATTGAAAAAACCCTCAAAATATGCTCCTCTCAAAAATTTTTATGGCGCCACGAAGCTTCCTTCTGGGCTCCTCTGATGGTCCATTTCACTCATTAGTTGTATGTGCAAATTGTTTGAAAATATGGTATTCAAAAGGCTAACTTGGATATTATAGAAAAAACGACCTTCTATTTATCCCAAAACTGGATTCAGAACAGGATGTTCCACCTTGGACCTTCTGATAACAATGGAATATGAAATTCTGAATTGCTTCGCTGAAAAAAAAGAGTGCATATTGATTTACTTCGATATTGAAAAAAGCTTATGACAATCTAAATCTATCTCTTTTCTCCTGCATCCGTTAAGGAAATGAGGAATCAGAGATCATCTTCTTATAATAATAAAAAGCTTTCTGCATGATCGAACTTTCCTAGGTAGAATAAGCAATTGCCTGTTTTCAACAAAAACAATGATCAACGGAATACATAAGGAAGGTGTTTAAGCTATTATCATTAACCGAGTTAGATATATGGTTCCCAAATCCATAACACTAAATTCTTCTAACTTCAAGGAATTAATTTTAACTTTGCATCTATTTCCCTATATATTTTCCTAACCACTACATCAGTGCCAATACCAGCTTTTTCAAGAGCTCTCCTAAGCTTTTTCGAATAGAACTTTGTCAAGATTTATGAAGATCCTGTATAGTCCCTTTGATATTTTTGCTTATTTTCCTAAAATCTGCCTGAGTGTAAATATATGATCAATACAACACCTCCCCGCTGTAAAACCACACTCTTCTTAGATTAGAGCGAATTCGTATTCGCTTTTACCCATTCATACGAGAGCTAGCCACCCATGGCAATATGGCTCCACGAAATGCAAGAGAACCGGTGATGCTATGCCGATTGTGAGATTTTTCGGAATTTTAATAAGTCTGAAAGGGAGAAGAAAGATCTGTTTGAGCCTGTTTTTATACGCTGGTCTATTGCCGACCGTTGTTCATTCATTGATGTTATTGTGAAATCTAGGTGTTGAATTTGTCTCCTTTCGGGAACAATTTTCCTTCCACGCAGATCCTGTTATTAGGTATGGAATTTTCGTCTTAATATCATATCATATTTTGATCTACCTCTTTTAAATCCTGCCTGGTAGTTCCCTAATTGTTTTTCAGCAAAAGGTGACAGCTGTCCAAAGAGGATGCTTGATAGGATCTTGTATGCACATGACAGGAGTGCGATTCCTTGATAGTTTCCGCAGTCGGGTTGATCTTCCTTCTTGTATATCGGGCATATTACAGCTTTCGTACAGTCCTCCGGCATCCGTTCCTGCTCCCAGATCGTTAGTATCATGTTGTGGAGTTCCTTAGTTAGCTCATAACCACTGTTTATTTTACTATGCCAATCCCTTCCAAGGCTGTCAGGGATATTGTCATAATAATTCTGCTTTAAGAGCTGGTATTAATTTATTGCTGTGAACTGTAAAATTAGAGGAGTTAATGGATTAAAGAAGTGAATATTTAAAATTGATTGCTATATTTTATTACATGTAATTTTATACGGAGGTTAAATATACGTGGGTTGGGATACTTGCATTTTCTCTTTTCTTCTAGTTGCCAGTCTTCTTGTTCATCTTCTCTCTCTTCCTTTCTTGGCCACTTGCCGGCCGCTGTAGTTTTTTACTCCATGTTTAGTAAACCAATGGAATTACAAATTTTTAAACTGGCCAGTCTGGTAAATATCTCATGCTACGTAAGCGTCTACGCTTCAATAATGGCGGCGTCACAATAACAACTGAGGTATATATGCAGTAAGCTCCAGATAACAGCTGTGTTGTGTTTACTTGATTATTAAAATTAAAATTAAATTTAAATATAAAGTTTGATGTGTTCCCTAAACACCCATTGTATTTCAAGAGTTCTGACTGGATCCCATCAATACCAGGTCCTTTGTTATTCCTTAG